AGGTCGTCGGCCTCAACGTCCACGTCGTACACCGTGGTGAAGGCAGCGGGGACGAAGAAGTCAGGCGGCCTCCGAAGTCGGCCTGAACGCCGTGGTCCTGGCTGGACCTCCTCGGCGTCCCCTCCATCATTGCCGCTGCCCTTGACGTCCTGCTGCTCGTCAGCCGGCGTCCCAGCCGACTTCTCCCCTATGGTCGGCTCCCCTGCCGACTGCCCGGTCGCCGACTGCTCCTTGGTCGGCGTCATTGCTGCCTGCTCCTCTGCTGGCCGCTGGTCCTCGACCTGCTTCTCGACCTGCTCCTCCCCTGTCGACGTCGACTGCAAGCCCACGTCGCCCTGCCGCTCGTCGCGTCGGCCACCGGCGATGCATTTGGCCAAAGGCGGCGTCGCACCACTCCCCTCATCGCCGGAGGCCGACACCGAGGTCAGCCGACGCAGATCGACCACGAGGGGAGGGGCGGGGGTCGCAGGAGGAGGAGCAGGGGGGCGGACGTCCTCGACGTCCTGTACAGAAAGCTCACCGATCTCGGCAAGCAGTGGCAGCGTCGCCGACGAGGTGTCAGATGGCGGAGTGAGGGACGAACGGCCGGACACCGACCCGGACGCCGTTTTCCACTCGGCCAGCGACATCTCCTCGTAGAACACCATGTCCGACGTGGTGACCACCCGGTCGGTGTCGACGTCGAGGAGCTCCCAGCCCTTGCTCGCCGCCGACACGCCAAGGTGCAGACCCCACTTTGCCTTCGGCTGCAGCTTCCCACCACGCTGCTGCTCGGGGACTAAGAACTGCGCCATGCAGCCCCACACCCGCGCCAGCGACAAGTCGGGCTTCTTCCCGGTCAGCAGTTGGTACGGCGTCGTCCCCGGCGGCAGCGTCGACCTCTCAAGGCAGTTGCGGACCCAGACGGCCTGCCGGAGAGCGAGGTGCCACCAGTGGTGCTGCACGCCCATGTGCAACAGCATTGTCCGCACCGACTCCACTACCGTCCGCATCTCCCGCTCCGCCATGCCGTTCTGCTGCGGGGTGTATGGGCAGGTCAGGTCGTGGACGATCCCTTTGTCGTTCACGAAGTCGATGAACTGCTTCCCGAGGAACTCCCCTCCCTGGTCAGAGCGCAGCATCAACACCGACTTCTTCGTCTGCCGCTCAGCCACCGCCAGCCACTGCACAAACACCGGCAACGCGTCCGACTTCTTGGTGATCGGCTTCACCCACACGTAGCGGGTCTTGTGGTCCTTCAGCAACAAGAAGTACAGGCTGCCATCCTTGGCAGCCATGCGGAACGGCCCGCACAGGTCGATGTGCACGACTGCCAGCACATCGTCGGCGTCGGAGCCTTGGTCGGGGAAGGTGTGCCGCGCCAGCTTCCCGCCGACGCACAAGACACACGGGGAGTCGGCGCCCGTCGCCGACTTGAGATCCAACCCAATGGCCACCTCGTTCTTCGCCGAGCTCCGTATGGTGTCCATGCCGACATGTGCAAGCCTCGCATGCATTCGGTCCGGCGTCGACTTCGTTGTTGAGACAATCGCCCGCAGGGCCACAACCTCCGGCGTTGTCGACGTCGACCTCGTTGGGCAGGGACGCAGGTCGGTGCAGAGGACACGCCCGGAGTACGTCGCCCGTCCGAGCACTTCTCCCGTTGCCGAGACGAGCAGCATCCCGTCGCCGTCCTCTTGCAGCTTCACACCGTGCTCCTTCAGCTGGCCGGACGACAGCAAGTTCGCCCGCACACCCGGGACGTACAGCACGTCGGGGATGAGCACCTGCTTCCCGGCCTCCCCTTGCAGAGCGATGGTGCCGCAGCCCTGGACATCCTGCAGCGCCCCATTGAAGCCGCGCACGTGCTTGATGAAGCCGCTCGGCTGCAGGTCGACGAAGGCTTCCTTCGTCCCCATCAGGTGGTGGGAGCAACCGCTGTCGAGCAGGACCACCGCCGGGTTTGCCTGCACAGCCGCCGCCACCGCCTGGAAGTCCTCCCCAGCCTCCGGCGCCAGAGAGACGGTCGGCTCCACGATGCCGACCAGTGAGCACGACGCCGTCTTGTCGTCCCGCGCCTTGCCGCCAGCAGGGGAGTCGGCGTCCTTCGCCGAAGTCGACGTCTTGGTCGACTGCTTCTCCTTGCGCGGCCGATTTCCTCCTCGACGAAGACGACGACTGTCAGACCTCCCGCGGCCTCCCTTGTCGTCGTCGTCGGAGTCACTGCGGTCAGGGCACTCGAAGGAGAGGTGGTCGGGGTCGCCGCACAGCCAGCACTCCCGTCGTCGACCTCCTCCTCCTCCTCGACCGCTGTTCTTGGTCGACTTCTTCTTGTCGACCTCCTTGGCCGACTTCCAGCCACCGCTCCCGCCGCCACCAGACTGTCCGCGCTCTCCTGCTCGGCCTCCTTGCTTCGCCGGGGCGACGAAGTTGGCCTGCGCCAAGAGTTCCTGCGACCGCTCAGCCTCCTGCATCGCCTCGTCCTGCAGGATGTACGAGGTCAAGTTGTCCTCGTTGAGCGTCGCCCTCGTGCCCGGCGCCATGGACAGCCGCTTCAGGAGGTTGTAGCTACTGGAGAGTCCCTGCATGACATGGGTGATGTACGATGCCGTGGAGTACTGCGCGCCGGCCATCCTGATGGTGGCGAGAATTCGCCGGGCCCGGTTGCAGTAGTCGGTCGCTGTCTCATCGTCACCCATACGCAGGTGCGTCAGCTGTCCCTCCAGCTGGGCGATAAACAGGTCGTCGGTGACCTGGTACGTCGACTCGATGAAGTGCCACGCCCGGTGGCCGGCGTCGATGTACTCTCGGCACCACTTTAAGGCAATCTGCACCCCTGGCGAGCAGCACCGCGAGATGACCGTGAAGGTCAGCAGCTGCACGGCGCGAAACTCCGCCCTTAAGTCGAGGTGGTGCTCCCCACGCGTCGCCACAGTCCCTCGGGCGAAGCCGATCAGCCCGGCCATCTCCAAATGGGGCTCGATAGCTTCTTTCCAGGTGAGAATGTCGGGTCGACCGACCAGTGGGGGGGTGACCGAGATCCTGTCCGGCGTGAACTTGAAGTAGCCGTAGCTCGGAGCAATTCCACCTGCTGTCACCTGGGACGCCGACATCGGCGACAGCCCACTCCGTCGACCTCCGACGTCACCCTGCAAAGAGCCTGCAGCCGCCGATGTCTGCATCCCTCGCACCTGAACGCCGCCGACTTCACTGGCGTGTATCACACCTCTCTGCCTCGACATGCCTCCAGCACTACTATCGACTTGACCACCCCCGGCGTTGACGCCCACGTCGACGCCGCCTTCGTTGTTCACCGGACGAGGAGAGGTAGGTCGAGACGGGTGCTCCGTCACCCACGTGGAGCGGAGTCCAGCCTCGACGACCGCCCAGGGCAAGTCGCCATACTCATTGGCCTCATGCTTCCTCCTCGCGTTCTCCAACCGTGCCTCCAGGGTGTCCACCACCCCCGCGTCACCTACGGCTCCTACCATAGTGACTACTGCACAGTTGCCGGCCTGTAACTACGAAATAGGTAAGTGGTATCTACGTCGACCTGACTGAAAGGTAAGTCGTGTGCCATCCACGCTCACCGCACCATGGGGAGATAACTACTACAACGGGAGCTAGACTACTGGCTAGGCACGTGTGCTCATGTGATCTCTGCGTTCGTTGGTCCTTAGACGTTTTCCTAGTGCTAACACTGCTTGCTAGTTCACGGGGCAATTTGGCAAGAGTTTCACTAAGAAAAGATCACAACAATGGTACAATGAAGTTGGCAATGCAAGACTACATCAGAGCTAGCATTCAAGTTGGTCAACTGCCAGCACAGCATGGTCGACCGCATTCCAACACGACTTGGTCGACCGCGCTCCAGCAGAGCAAAGTCGACAGCTTGCCAATGCTTCAGGTCGACGGTGTGCCAGCAGTGCACCCGCTTTGCAGGTGCGTGCAGATGATTGGTATGCCGAGCCTCATCACCTGCACAGCACACACACACCACGTCAGCCTCGGGCTGACGGCTACCTCTGATCTGCCACGACGACCTCGTGATACCACCACCAAGGTCGGTCTCGCCAGCTTCGCCTGGGCGACCGTCGCACTCCTCCGCAGCACTTCGTCACCCAGGTAACCTGGTTGACCGGGCAACCACATCGACCAGCAACTCCCGTACGTGTCCGTCGACCTCCCAAGTCGACGACCACCTCGTTGTCGACCTCACCGGGTCGACCATGCCCCTCGGTCGACGACCATGTCACTCGACGCCCGACTGCTCGACGCCCGACTGCTCGACGTCCTGACTGCTCGACGTCCTGCTACTCGACGTCGACCCCTCCTTCGTCGACCACCGGTCCAGTCGACCACCCGCAGGTCGACCAGCACATCAGCCGACCACCAAAGTCGGCTTCCCAAGTTGACGTCCTCCGCAGGTCGACGCTTAAGTCGACCTCCCCGAAGTTGGCGCCACCCCGAAGTCGGCGCCCGTGCAGTGGTCCCCGTGCAGGTCGACCTCCTCGTCGACCAGCTCGCCCACTACTGCAGGTCGGCTGCTCCCCTAACACCCGACCACGATGTCGGCTCCGCCCAAGCGTGGACGGGGCCAACATGCAACTCCCGTTGACACTTGCCTGGTCGAGGAGCGTGCCTGGTCCACGAGTTTGCGTGGTCCAGAAGCTTGCCTAGCCCAGGAGCTTGCCTAGTCCAGGATCGTGCCTGGTCCACAAGCGTGCCTCGTCCAGGAGCTTGCCTGGTCCTGGCGCTTGCCTGGTCCAGGAGCTTGCCAGGCCCAGGAGCGTGCCTGGTCCACGAGCTTGCCTGGTCTAAGAGCTTGCCTGGTCCAGGAGCGTGCCTGGTCCACGAGCATGCCTGGTCCAGGAGCTTGCTTGGTTCAGGAGCTTGCCTGGTCTAGGAGCTTGCCTGGTCCAGGAGTGTGCCTGGTCCAGGAGCTTGCTTTGTCCAGAAGCCTGCCTGATCCAAGAGCTTGCCTGGTCTAGGAGCGTGCCTAGCCCAAGAGCTTGCCTAGTCTAGGAGCTTGCCTGGTCCATGAGCGTGCCTGGTTCATGAGCTTGCCTGGTCCAGGAGCTTGCCTTTTCTAGGAGGTTGCCTGGTCCAAGAGCTTGCCTGGTCCAGGAGCTTGCCTGGTCCAGGAGCTTGCCTGGTCCAAGAGCTTGCCTAGTCCAAGAGTGACGGAAAGCGGTAGAATGGGGCGGGGTGATGGAAAGCGGGAGAATGGGGCGGGGTGATGGAAAGAGGGAGAATGGGGCGGGGTGATGGAAAGAGGGAGAATGGGGCGGGGTGATGGAAAGCAGGAGAATGGGGCGGGGTGATGGAAAAAGGGAGAATGGGGAGGGGTGATGGAAAGAGTGAGAATCGGGCGGGGTGATAGAAAGCGGGACAATGGAGCGGGATGATGGAAAGCGAGAGAATGGGGCGGGAGAATGGGGCGGGGTGATGGAAAGAGGGAAAATGGCGCGGGGTGATGGAAAGCGGGAGAATGGGGCGGGTTGATGGAAAGAGGGAGAATGGGGCGGGGTGATGGAAAGAGGGAGAATGGGGTGGGGTGATGGAAAGCGGGAGAATGGGGCGGGGTGATGGAAAGAGGGAGAATGGGGCGGGGTGATGGACAGAGGGAGAATGGGGTGGGGTGACGGAAAGCGGTAGAATGGGACGGGGTGATGGAAAGCGGGAGAATGGGGCAGGGTGATGGAAAGAGGGAGAATGGGGCGGGGTGATGGAAAGAGGGAGAATGGGGCGGGGTGATGGAAAGCAGGAGAATGGGGCGGGGTGATGGAAAAAGGGAGAATGGGGAGGGGTGATGGAAAGAGTGAGAATTGGGCAGGGTGATGGAAAGCAGAACAATGGAGCGGGATGATGGAAAGCGAGAGAATGGGGCGGGGTGATGGAAAGCGGGAGAATGGGACGGGGTGATGGAAAGAGGGAAAATGGCGCGGGGTGATGGAAAGCGGGAGAATGGGGCGGGGTGATGGAAAGAGGGAGAATGGGGCGGGGTGATGGAAAGAGGGAGAATGGGGCGGGGTGATGGAAAGCGGGAGAATGGGGCGGGGTGATGGAAAGAGGGAGAATGGGGCGGGGTGATGAAAAGAGGGAGAATTGGGCGGGGTGATGGAAGGCGGGAGAGTGGGGCGGGGTGATGGAAAGAGGGAGAATGGGGCGGGGTGATGGAAAGCGGGAGAATGGGACAAGGTGATGGAAAGCGGGAGAATGGGGCGGGGTGATGGATAGAATGAGAATGGGGCGGGGTGAGGGAAAAAGGGAGAATGGGGCGGGGTGATGGAAAGAGGGAAAATGGCTCGGGGTGATGGAAAGCGGGAGAATGGGGCGGGGTGATGGAAAGAGGGAGAATGGGGCGGGGTGATGGAAAGAGGGAGAATGGGGCGGGGTGATGGAAAGCGGGAGAATGGGGCGGGGTGATGGAAAGAGGGAGAATGGGGCGGGGTGATGGAAAGAGGGAGAATTGGGCGGGGTGATGGAAGGCGGGAGAGTGGGGCGGGGTGATGGAAAGAGGGAGAATGGGGCGGGGTGATGGAAAGCGGGAGAATGGGACAGGGTGATGGAAAGCGGGAGAATGGGGCGGGGTGATGGATAGAATGAGAATGGGGCGGGGTGAGGGAAAGAGGGAGAATGGGGCGGGGTGATGCAAAGCGGGAGAATGGGGCGGGGTGATTGAAAGCGGGAGAACAGGGCGGGGTGATGGAAAGAGGGAGAATGGGGCGGGGTGATGGAGAGACGGAGAATGGGGAGGGGTGATGGAAAACGGGAGAATGGGGCGGGGTGATTGAGAGCGGGAGACTGGGGCGGGGTGATGGAAAGCGGGAGAATGGGGCGGGGTGATGGAAAGCGGGAGAACGGGGCGGGGTGATGGAAAGCGGGAGAACGGGGCGAGGTGATGGAAAGCGGGAGAACGGGGCGGGGTGATGGAAAGCAGGAGAACGGGGCGGGATGATGGAAAGCGGGAAAATGGGGCGGGGTGAAAGAAAGCGGGAGAACGGGGCGGGGTGATGGAAAGCAGGAGAATGGGGCGGGGTGATGGAAAGCGTGAGAATGAGGCGGGGTGATGGAAACAGGGAGAATGGGGCGGGGTGATGGAAACAGGGAGAATGGGGCGGTGTCATGGAAAGAGGGAGAATGGGGGGGGGTGATGGAAAGAGGGTGAATGGGGTGGGGTGATGGAAAGAGGGAGAATGGGGAGGGGTGATGGTGGGCGGGGTGATGGAAAGCGGGAGAATGGAGCGGGGTGATGGAAACCGGAGAATGGGGCCGGGTGATGGAAAGCGGGAGAATGGGGCGGGGTGATGGAAAGAGGGTGAATGGGGCGGGGTGATGGAAAGCGGGAGAATGGGGCGGGGTGATGGAAAGCCGGAGAATGGGGCGGGGTGATGGAAAGCGGAAGAATGGGGCGGGGTAATGGAAAAAGGGAGAATGGGGCAAGGTGATAGAAAGCGGGAGAATGGGGCGGGGTGATGGATAGAGGGAGAATGGAGAGGGGTGATGGAAAGAGGGAGAATTGGGCGGGGTGATGGAAAGCGGGAGAACGGAGCAGGATGATGGACAGTGGGAGAATGGGGCGGGGTGATGGAAAGCGGGAGAATGGGGCAGGTTGATGGAAGAGGGAGAATGGGGCGGGGTGATAGAAAGAGGGAGAATGGGGAGGGGTGATGGAAAACGGGAGAACGGGGCGGGGTGATTGAGAGCGGGAGAATGGGGTGGGGTGATGGAACCAGGGAGAATGGGGCGGGGTGATGGAAAGCGGGAGAATGGGGCGGGGTGATGGAAAGAGGGGGAATGGGACGGGGTGATGGAAAGAGGGGGAATGGGGTGGGGTGATGGAAAGAGGGAGAATGGGGCGGGGTGATGGAAAGAGGGTGAATGGGGTGGGGTGATGGAAAGAGGGAGAATGGGGAGGGGTGATGGAAAGAGGGAGAACTGGGCGGGGTGATGGAAAGCAAGAGAATGGAGCGAGGTGATGGAAAGCAGGAGAATGGGGCGGGGTGATGGAAAGCGGGAGAATGGGGCGAGGTGATGGAAAGAGGGAGAATGGGGCGGGGTGATGGAAAGCGGGAGAATGGGGCGGGGTGATGGAAGGAGGGAGAATGGGGCGGGGTGATGGAAGGAGGGAGAATGGGGCAGGGTGATAGAAAGCAGGAGTTTGGGGCGGGGTGATGGAAAGTAGGAGAATGGGGCGGGGTGATGGAAAGCGGGAGAATGGGGCGGGGTGATGGAAAGCGGGAGATTGGGGCGGGGTGATGGAAAGCGGGAGAATGGGGCGGGGTGATGGAAAGCGGGAGAACGGGGCAGGATGATGGAAAGCGGGAAAATGGGGCGGGGTGATGGAAGGAGGGAGAATTGGGCAGGGTGATGGAAAGCGGGAGAATGGGGCGAGATGATGGGAAGCGGGAAAATGGGGCGGGGTAATGAAAAGCGGGAGAATGGGGCGAGGTGATGGAAAGCGGGAGAATGGGGCGAGGTGATGGAAAGCGGTAGAAAGGGGCGGGGTGATGGAAAGCGGGAGAATGGGGCGGGGTGATGGAAGGAGGGAGAATGGGGACGGGTGATAGAAAGCGGGAGAATGGGGCGGGTTGATGGGAATCCGGAGAATGAGGCGGGGTGATGGAAAGCGGGAGAATGGGGCGGCTGATGGAAAGCTGGAGAATGGGGCGGGGTGATGGAAAGCGGGAATATGGGTTGGGGTGATGGAAAGCGGGAGAATAGGGTGGGGTGATGGAAAGCGGGAGAATGGGGCGGGGTGATGGAAAGCGGGAGAATGGGGCGGGTTATGGAAAGCTGGAGAATGGGGCGGGGTGATGGAAAGCGGTGGAATGGGGCGGGCTGATAGAAAGCGGGAAAATGGGGCGGGGTGATGGAAGGAGGGAGAATGGGGCGGGGTGATGGAAGGAGGGAGAATGGGGCAGGGCGATGGAAGGAGGGAGAATGGGGCGGGCTGATGGAAAGTGGGAGAATGTGGCTGGGTGATGGAAAGCGGGAGAATGCGGCGGGGTTATGGAAAGCGGGAGAATGGGGCGGGGTGATGGAAAGCGGGAGAATGAGGCGGGGTGATGGAAGGAGGGAGAATGGGGCGGGGTGATGGAAAGCGGGAGAATGGGGCGGGGTGATGGAAAGCGGGAGAATGGGCCGGGGTGATGGGAAGCGGGAGAATGGGGCAGGGTGATGGAAAGCGGGAGAATGGGGCGGGGTGATCGAAAGCGGGAGAACGGGGCGGGGTGGTGGAAAGCGGGAGAATGGGGCGGGGTGATGGAAAGCGGGAGAATGGGGCGGGATGATGGAAAGCGGGAGAATGGGGCGGGGTGATCACATAACACATAACACCATCACCCCGAACCATTCTCCCGCTTTCCATCACCTGCCCCATTCTCCCGCTTTCCATCACCCCGCCCCATTCTCCCGCTTTCCATCACCCCGCCCCATTCTCCCACTTTTCATCACCCCGCCCCATTCTCCCGCTTTCCAACACCCCGCCCCATTCTCCCGCTTTCCATCACCCCGCCCCATTCTCCCTCTTTCCATCACCCCGCCCCATTCTCCCTCCTTCCATCACCCCGCCCCATTCTCCCACTTTCCATCGGCCCGCCCCATTCTCCCGCTTTCCGTCACCCCGCCTCATTCTCCCGCTATCCATCACCCCGCCCCATTCTCCCGCTTTCCATCACCCTGCCCCATTCTCCCGCTTTCCATCAGCCCACCCCATTCTCCCGCTTTCCATCACCCCGCCCCATTCTCCCGCTTTCCATCACCCTGCCCCATTCTCCCTCCTTCCATCACCCCGCCTCATTCTACCTCCTTCCATCACCCCTGTTGTAGTCACAGTAGGCTCCAATGTGCCTAAAACGAAAGATAGAGTGCATAGTCGGATTTCTGCACAGCGGCTTCAAACGTTCATAGCGTTTCGGTCACAGCTTCAAATGACTTGATTCAACTTGGATTTGGAGCGTCTTACTGTTGCCTACAATAGGCAATTTAGATCGCACGATTTGACCAAGTATTGACGACACAGGGTTGGTTTGAACGAACGGCACTATGGCAGCCACTATAGTCTTAGAACACAAGATAGGAAGAGTTAGGAAGAGTTACGAGTTGGGAATGACTCCCAGCTCCTACAAACCCCAAGAGCCGAGTTACAGTGATGTGGAACAGTGCCACACAGTCCCCAACCACGAAGGGTCTCGAAACTACCCTTCACTATGGCCTACACCAAGTGAAATGTTACACTACACAAAGTAATGTAACTATCTTCAATATCTTGAGGTGTACCCTTTTGGCGAGCTTTGAAATCACTTGTGGATTGACACCAAGGCTCGGCTCTTCGTCACAAACTCATCCTTGAGTTCTTGATGGGTCTGCTGCACACACCTGCGACACACCGAACGTTCGACACAGGACAAAAGAGAAACCGCGCACGACAAAATAGAAACCGCGCGCGAGACACAAACGACCGCGTAACACGCGTCTAGCCATAACTCGCTATTGACTCGACACATACACTCGACATCATGACTGAACATTCACACACAATTATAAGCATTAAATATATATTATCCCATGCCCTCATACCATTCCATAGACACACACACATGCACGCACACGGACAACAAGCCGAGTGCAAACCATAGGGTTGCACCAACAACCCCGCCCCATTCTCCTGCTTTCCATCACCTCGCCCCATTCTCCCGCTTTCCATCACCCCGCCCCATTCTTCTGCTTTCCATCACCCCGCCCCATTCTCCCGCTTTCCATCACCCCGCCCCATTCACCCGCTTTCCATCACCTGCCCCATTCTCCCGCTTTCCATCACCCCGCCCCATTCTCCCGCTTTCCATCACCCCGCCCCATTCTCCCGCTTTTCATCACCCCGCCCCATTCTCCCGCTTTCCAACACCCCGCCCCATTCTCCCGCTTTCCATCACCTCGCCCCATTCTCCCGCTTTCCATCACTCCGCCCCATTCTCCCGCTTTCCATCACTCCGCCCCATTCTCCCGCTTTCCATCACCCCGCCCCATTCTCCCGCTTTCCATCACCCCGCCCCATTCTCCCTCTTTCCATCACCCCGCCTCATTCTCCCGCTTCCCATCATCCCGCCCCATTCCCCCGCTTTCCATCACCTCTTCCTCCTTCCATCACCCCGCCCCATTCTCCTGAATTCCATCACCCCACCCCATTCTCCCGCTTTCTATCACCCCACCCCATTCTCTCGCTTTCCATCACCCCGCCCCATTCTCCCGCTTTCCATCACCCCCCCCCAGCGTCCCACTTTCCATCACCCCAGCCTATTCTCCCGCTTTCCATCTCCCCGCCGCATACTCACGCTTTCCATCACCCCGCCCCATTCTCCCGCTTTCCATCACCCCGCCCCATTCTCCCGCTTTCGATCGCCCCGCCCCATTCTCCCTCCTTCCATCACCCCGCCCCATTCTCCCTCCTTCCATCACCCCGCCCCATTCTCCCTCCTTCCATCACCCCGCCCCATTCTCCCGCTTTCCATCACCCCGCCCCATTCTCCCGCTTTCCATTACCCCGCCCCATTCTCCTGCTTTCCATCACCCCGCCCCAATCTCCCTCTTTCCATCACCCCACCCCATTCTCCCTCCTTCCATCACCCCGCCCCATTCTCCTGCCTTCCATCGCCCTGCCCCATTCTCCCGCGATCCATGACCCCGCCCCATTTTCCCGTTTTCCATCACCCCGCCCCATTGTCCTGCTTTCCATCACCCCGCCCCATTCTCCCGCTTTCCACCACCCCGCCCCATTCTCCCGCTTTCCATGACCCCGCCCCATTCTCCCTCCTTCCATCACCCCATACCATTCTCCCGCTTTCCATCACCCCACCCCATTCTCCCGCTTTCCATCACCCCACCCCATTCTCCCGCTTTCCATCACCCCGCCCCATTCTCCCGCTTTCCATCACCCCGCCTCATTCTCCCGCTTTCCATTACCCCTCCCCATTTTCCCTCTTTCCATCACCCCACCCCATTCTCCCGCTTTCCATCACCCCGCCCCATTCTCCCGCTTTGTATCACCCCGCCCCATTCTCCCGCCTTCCATCACCCCGCCCCAGCCCCCTCCTTCCATCACCCGGCCCTATTCTCCTTCCTTCAATCGCCCCGCCCCATTCTCCCGCTTTCCATCACCCCACCCCATTTTCCCATTTTCCATCACCCCGCCCCATTCTCCCGCTTTCCATCACCTCGCCCCATTCTCCTTGCTTCCATCACCCCGCCCTATTCTCCCGCTTTCCATCACCCCGGCCCATTCTCCCTCCTTCCATCACCCCGCCCCAATCCCCTCCTTCCATCACCCGCCCCATTCTCCCTCTTTCCATCAGCCCGCCCCATTCTCCTGCTTTCCATCACCCCGCCCCATTCTCCAGCTTTCCATCACCCCGCTCCATTCTCCCGCTTTCAATCACCCAGCCCAATTCTCCCTCTTTCCATCAACCCCCCCCCCCATTCGCCCGCTTTCCATCACCCCGCCCCATTCTCCCGCTTTCCATCACCCCGCCCAATTCTCCCTCTTTCCATCACCCCGCCCCTTTCTCCCTCTTTTCATCACCCCGCCCCATTCTCCCGCTTTCCATCACCCCGCCACATTCTCCCTCTTTCCATCACCCCGCCCCATTCTCCCTCTTTCCATCAGCCCTGCCCCATTCTCCCTCTATCCATCACCTCGCCCAATTCTCCCGCTTTCCATCACCCCGTCCCATTCTCCCGCTTTCCATCACCGCGCCCCATTCTCCCTCTTTCCATCACCCCGCCCCATTCTCCCGCTTTCCATCACCTTGTTCCATTCTCCCGCATTCCATCACCCTGCCCAATTCTCCCTCTTTCCATCACCCCTCCCCATTCTCCCTCTTTCCATCACCGTGCCCCATTCTCCCCCTTTCCATCACCCCGCCCCATTCTCCCTTTTTCCATCAGCCCGCCCCATTCTCCCGCTTTCCATCACCCCGCCCCATTCTCCCTCTTTCCATCACCCTGCCCCATTCTCCCCCTTTCCATCACCCCGCCCCATTCTCCCTCTTTCCATCAGCCCGCCCCATTCTCCTGCTTTCCATCACCCCGCTCCATTCTCCCGCTTTCCTTCACCCTGCCCAATTCTCCCTCTTTCCATCACCCCTCCCCATTCTCCCTCTTTCCATCACCCCGCCCAATTCTACCTCTTTCCATCACCCACCCCATTCTCCCGCTTGCCATCCCCCCGCCCCATTCTCCCACTTTCCATCACCCCGCCCCATTCTCCCTCCCTCCATCACCCCGCCCCATTCTCCCGCTTTCCATCACCTCGCCCCATTCTCCCGTTTTCAATCACCCCGCCCCATTCTCCCTCTTTCCATCACCCCACCCCATTCTCCCGCTTTCCATCACCCCGCCCCATTCTCCTGCTTTCCATCACCCCGCCTCATCCTCCCGCTTTCCATGACCCCGCCCCCTTCTCCCGCTTTCCTTCACCCCGCCCCATTCTTTCGCTTTCCATCACCCCGCTCTATTCTCCCTCTTTCCATCACCCTGCCCCATTCTCCCCCTTTCCATCACCCCGCCCCATTTTCTCTCTTTCCATCACCCCGCCCCATTCTCCCGCTTTCCATCACCCCGCCCCATTCTCCCTCTTTCTATCACCCCTCCCCATTCTCCCGCTTTCCATCACCCCGCCCAATTCTCCCTCTTTCTATCACCCCTCCCCATTCTCCCTGTTTCCATCACCCCGCCGCATTTTCCCGCTTTCCATCACCCCCCCCCCCCCCATTCTCCCTCTTTCCATCACCCCGCCCCATTCTCCCGCTTTCCATGACCCCGCCCCATTCTCCCGCTTTCCATCACCCCGCCCCATTCTCCCGCTTTCCATCACCCCGCCCCATTCTCCCTACTTCCATCACCCCGCCCCAATCCCCTCCTTCCATCACCCGGCCCTATTCTCCTTCCTTCAATCGCCCCGCCCCATTCTCCCGCTTTCCATCACCCCGCCCCATTTTCCCGTTTTCCATCACCCCGCCCCATTCTCCCGCTTTCCATCACCTCGCCCCATTCTCCTTGCTTCCATCACCCCGCCCCATTCTCCCGCTTTCCATCACCCCGCCCCATTCTCCCTCCTTCCATCACCCCGCCCCAATCCCCTCCTTCCATCACCCGCCCCATTCTCCCTCTTTCCATTAGCCCGCCCCATTCTCCTGCTTTCGATCACCCCGCCCCATTCTCCAGCTTTCCATCACCCCGCTCCATTCTCCCGCTTTCAATCACCCAGCCCAATTCTTCCTCTTTCCATCAACCCCCCCCCCCCCATTCGCCCGCTTTCCATCACCCCGCCCCATTCTCCCGCTTTCCATCACCCCGCCCCATTCTCCCTCTTTCCATCACCCCGCCCCTTTCTCCCTCTTTTCATCACACTGCCCCATTCTCCCGCTTTCCATCACCCCGCCCCATTCTCCCTCTTTCCATCACCCCGCCCCATTCTCCCTCTTTCCATCAGCCCTGCCCCATTCTCCCTCTATCCATCACCTCGCCCAATTCTCCCGCTTTCCATCACCCCGTCCCATTCTCCCGCTTTCCATCACCGCGCCCCATTCTCCCTCTTTCCATCACCCCGCCCCATTCTCCCGCTTTCCATCACCTTGTTCCATTCTCCCGCTTTCCATCACCCTGCCCAATTCTCCCTCTTTCCATCAACCCTCCCCATTCTCCCTCTTTCCATCACCCTGCCCCATTCTCCCCCTTTCCATCACCCCGCCCCATTCTCCGTTTTTCCATCAGCCCGCCCCATTCTCCCGCTTTCCATCATCCCGCCCCATTCTCCCTCTTTCCATCACCCTGCCCCATTCTCCCCCTTTCCATCACCCCGCCCCATTCTCCCTCTTTCCATCAGCCCGCCCCATTCTCCCGCTTTCCATCACCCCGCTCCATTCTCCCGCTTTCCATCACCCCGCCCAATTCTCCCTCTTTCCATCACCCCTCCCCAATCTCCCTCTCTCTATCACCCCACCCAATTCTACCTCTTTCAATCACCCATCCCATTCTCCCGCTTGCCACCCCCCCGCCCCATTCTCCCACTTTCCATCACCCCGCCCCATTCTCCCTCTTTCCATCACCCCACCCCATTCTCCCGCTTTCCATCACCCCGCCCCATTCTCCTGCTTTCCATCACCCCGCCTCATTCTCCCGCTTTCCATGACCCCGCCCCATTCTCCCGCTTTCCTTCACCCCGCCCCATTCTCCCGCTTTCCATCACCCCGCCCTATTCTCCCTCTTTCCATGACCCTGCCCCATTCTCCCCCTTTCCATCACCCCACCCCATTTTCTCTCTTTCCATCACCCCGCCCCATTCTCCCGCTTTCCATCACCCCGCCCAATTCTCCCTCTTTCCATCACCCCTCCCCATTCTCCCTCTTTCTATCACCCCACCCAATTCTACCTCTTTCCATCACCCACCCCATTCTCCCGCTTGCCATCCCCCCGCCCCATTCTCCCACTTTCCATCACCCCGCCCCATTCTCCCTCTCTCCATCACCCCGCCCCATTCTCCCGCTTTCCATCACCCCGCCCCATTCTCCCGCTTTCAATCACCCCGCCCCATTCTCCCTCTTTCCATCACCCCACCCCATTCTCCCGCTTTCCATCACCCCGCCCCATTCTCCTGCTTTCCATCACCCCGCCTCATTCTCCCGCTTTCCATGACCCCGCCCCATTCTCCCGCTTTCCTTCACCCCGCCCCATTCTCCCGCTTTCCATCACCCCGCCCTATTCTCCCTCTTTCCATGACCCTGCCCCATTCTCCCCCTTTCCATCACCCCACCCCATTTTCTCTCTTTCCATCACCCCGCCCCATTCTCCCGCTTTCCATCACCCCGCCCCATTCTCCCTCTTTCTATCACCCCTCCCCATTCTCCCGCTTTCCATCACCCCGCCCAATTCTCCCCCTTTCTATCACCCCTCCCCATTCTCCCTTTTTCCATCACCCCGCCGCATTCTCCCGCTTTCCATCACCCCCCCCCCATTCTCCCTCTTTCCATCACCCCGCCCCATTCTCCCGCTTTCCATGACCCCGCCCCATTCTCCCGCTTTCCATCACCCCGCTTCATTCTCCCGCTTTCCATCACCCTGCCCCATTCTCCCTCTTTCTATCACCCCTCCCCATTGTCCCGCTTTCCATCACCCCGCCCAATTCTCCCGCTTTCCATCACCCCTCCCCATTCACCCTCTTTCTATCACCCCACCTCACTCTCCCGCTTTCCATCACCCCGCCCCATTTTCTCTCTTTCCATCACCCTGCCCCGTTCTCCCACTTTCCATCACCCCGCCACATTCTCCCGCTTTCCATCACCCCTCCCCATTCTCCCTCTTTCCATCACCCCGCCCCATTCTCCCACTTTCCGTCACCCTGCCCCATTCTCCCGCTTTCCATCACCCCGCTCCATTCTCCCTCTTTCCGTCACCCCGCCCCATTCTCCCGCTTTCCATCACCCCGCCCCATTCTCCCTCTTTCCATCACCCCGCCCCATTCTCCCGCTTTCCATCACCCCACCCCATTCTCCCGCTTTCCATCACCCCGCTCTATTCTCCCGCTTTCCATCACCCCGCCCAATTCTCCCTCTGTCCATCACCCCTCCCCATTCTACCTCTTTCCATCACCCCGCCCCCCACTCTCCCTCTTTCCATCACCCCGCCCCATTCTCCCGCTTTCCATCACCCCGCCCCATTCTCCCTCTTTCCATCACCCCGCCTCATTCTTCCGCTTTCCATTACCCCGCCCCATTTTCCCTCTTTCCATCAGCCCGCCCCATTCTCCTGCTTTCCATCACCCCGCCCTATTCTCCAGCTTTCCATCACCCCGCTCCATTCTCCCGCTTTCAATCACCCAGCCCAATTCTCCCTCTTTCCATCAACCCCCCCCCCCCATTCGCCCGCCTTCCATCACCCCGCCCCATTCTCCCGCTTTCCATCACCCCGCCCCATTCTCCCGCCTTCCATCACCCCGCCCCATTCTCCCGCTTTCCATCACCCCGCCCCATTCTCCCTCTTTCCATCACCCCGCCCCTTTCTCCCTCTTTTCATCACCCCGCCCCATTCTCCCGCTTTCCATCACCCCGCCCCATTCTCCCTCTTTCCATCACCCCGCCCCATTCTCCCGCTTTCCATGACCCCGCCCCATTCTCCCTCTTTCCATCACCCCGCCCCATCCTCCCTCTTTCCATCACCCCGCACCATTCTCCCTCTTTCCATCACCCCGCCCCATTCTCCCTCTTTCCATCACCCCGCCCCATTCTCCCTCTTTCCATCACCCCGCCCCATTCTCCCGCCTTCCATCACCCAGCCCCATTCTCCCTCTTTACATCACCCCGCCCCATTCTCCCGCTTTCTATCACCCCGCCCCATTCTCCCGCTTTCCATCACCCCGCCCCATTCTCCCTCTTTTCATCACCCCGCCCCATTCTCCCGCTTTCCATCACCCCGCCCCATTTTCTCTCTTTCCATCACCCCGCCCCATTCTCCCGCTTTCCATCACCCCGCCCCATTCTCCCTTTTTCTATCACCCCTCCCCATTCTCCCGCGTTCCATCACCCCGCGCAATTCTCCCTCTTTCTATCACCCCTCCCCATTCTCCCGCTTTCCATCCCCCCGCCCCATTCTCCTGCTTTCCATCACCCCGCCCCATTCTCCCTCTTTCCCTCACCCCGCCCCATTCTCCCGCTTTCCATTACCCTGCCCCATTCTCCCGCTTTCCATCACCCCGCCCCATTCTCCCGCTTTCCATCACCCCGCCCCATTCTCCCGCTTTCCATCACCCTGCCCCATTCTCCCGCTTTCCATCACCCCGCCCCATTCTCCCTCTTTCTATCACCCCTCCCCATTCTCCCGCTTTCCATCACCCCGCCCAATTCTCCCTCTTTCCATCACCCCTCCCCATTCTCCCTCTTCCTATCACCCCGCCCCATTCTCCCGCTTTCAATCACCCCGCCCCATTTTCCCTCTTTCCATCACCCCGCCCCATTCTCCCTCTTTCCATCACCCCGCCACATTCTCCCGCTTTCCATCACCCCTCCCCATTCTCCCTCTTTCCATCACCCCGCCCCATTCTCCCACTTTCCGTCACCCCGCCCCATTCTCCCTCTTTCCATCACCCCGCCTCATTTTCCATCTTTCCATCACCCCGCCCCATTTTCCCTCTTTCCATCACCCCGCCCCATTCTCCCTCTTTCCATCACCCCGCCACATTCTCCCGCTTTCCATCACCCCTCCCCATTCTCCCTCTTCCTATCACCCCGCCCCATTCTCCCACTTTCCGTCACCCCGCCCCATTCTCCCTCTTTCCATCATCCCGCCTCATTTTCCATCTTTCCATCACCCCGCCCCATTTTCCCTCTTTCCATCACCCCGCCCCATTCTCCCTGTTTCCATCACCCCGCCACATTCTCCCGCTTTCCATCACCCCTCCCCATTCTCCCGCTTTCCATCACCCCGCCCCATTCTCCCACTTTCCGTCACCCCGCCCCATTCTCCCTCTTTCCATCACCCCGCCTCATTTTCCATCTTTCCATCACCCCGCCCCATTTTCCCTCTTTCCATCACCCCGCCCCATTCTCCCTCTTTCCATCACCCCGCCACATTCTCCCGCTTTCCATCACCCCTCCCCATTCTCCCTCTTCCTATCACCCCGCCCCATTCTCCCGCTTTCCATCACCCCGCCCCATTCTCCCTCTTTCCATCACCCCGCCCCATTCTCCCGCTTTCCATCACCCCGCCCCATTCTCCCTCTTTCCATCACCCCGCCTCATTTTCCATCTTTCCATCACCCCGCCCCATTCTCCCGCTTTCCATCACCCCGCCCCATTCTCCCTCTTTCTATCACCCCTCCCCCTTCTCCCACTTTCCATCACCCCGCCCAATTCTCCCTCTTTCTATCACCCCTCCCCATTCTCCCTCTTTCTATCACCCCACCCCATTCTCCCGCTTTCCATCACCCCGCCCCATTTTCCCTCTTTCCATCACCCCGCCCCATTCTCCCTCTTTCTATCACCCCGCCACATTCTCCCGCTTTCCATCACCCCTCCCCATTTTCCCTCTTTCCATCACCCCGCCCCATTCTCCCGCTTTCCATCACCCCGCCCCATTCTCCCTCTTTCTATCACCCCTCCCCCTTCTCCCGCTTTCCATCACCCCGCCCAATTCCCCTCTTTCTTTCACCCCTCCCCATTCTCCCTCTTTCTATCACCCCGCCCCATTCTACCGCTTTCCATCACCCCGCCCCATTTTCCCTCTTTCCATCACCTCGCCCCATTCTCCCTCTTTCCATCACCCCGCCACATTCTCCCGCTTTCCATCACCCCGCCACATTCTCCCTCTTTCCATCACCCCGCCCCATTCTTCCGCTTCCCATCACCCCGCCCCATTCTCCCGCTTTCCATCACCCCGCCCCTCTCTCCCGCTTTCCATCACCCCGCCCCATTCTCCCCCTTTCCATCACCCCGCCCCATTCTCCCACTTTCCATCACCCCGCCCCATTCTCCCTCTTTCCATCACCCCGCCACATTCTCCCGCTTTCCATCACCCCTCCCCATTTTCCCTCTTTCCATCACCCCGCCCCATTCTCCCGCTTTCCGTCACCCCGCCCCATTCTCCCTCTTTCTATCACCCCTCCCCCTTCTCCCGCTTTCCATCACCCCGCCCAATTCTCCCTCTTTCTATCACCCCTCCCCATTCTCCCTCTTTCTATCACCCCGCCCCATTCTCCCGCTTTCCATCACCCCGCCCCATTTTCCCTCTTTCCATCACCCCGCCCCATTCTCCCTCTTTCCATCACCCCGCCACATTCTCCCGCTTTCCATCACCCCTCCCCATTCTCCCTCTTTCCGTCACCCCGCCACATTCTCCCGCTTTCCATCACCCCTCCCCATTCTCCCTCTTTCCGTCACCCCGCCCCATTCTCCCGCTTTCCATCACCACGCTCTATTCTCCCGCTTTCCATCACCCCGCCCAATTCTCCCTCTTTCCATCACCCCTCCCCATTCTACCTCTTTCCATCACCCCGCCCCCCATTCTCCCTCTTTCCATCACCCCGCCCCATTCTCCCGCTTTCCATCACCCCGCCCCATTCTCCCTCTTTCCATCACCCCGCCTCATTTTCCCTCTTTCCATCACCCCGCCCCATTCTCCCGCTTTCCATCACCCCGCCCCATTCTCCCTCATTCTATCACCCCTCCCCCTTCTCCCGCTTTCCATCATCCCGCCCAATTCTCCCTCTTTCTATCACCCCTCCCCATTCTCCCTCTTTCTATCACCCCGCCCCATTCTCCCGCTTTCCATCACCCCGCCCCATTTTCCCTCTTTCCATCACCCCGCCCCATTCTCCCTCTTTCCATCACCCCGCCACATTCTCCCGCTTTCCATCACCCCTCCCCATTTTCCCTCTTTCCATCACCCCGCCCCATTCTCCCGCTTTCCATCACCCCGCCCCATTGTCCCTCTTTCTATCACCCCTCCCCCTTCTCCCGCTTTCCATCACCCCGCCCAATTCCCCTCTTTGTATCACCCCTCCCCATTCTCCCTTTCTATCACCCCGCCCCATTCTCCCGCTTTCCATCACCCCGCCCCATTTTCCCTCTTTCCATCACCCCGCCCCATTCTCCCTCTTTCCATCACCCGGCCACATTCTCCCGCTTTCCATCACCCCTCCCCATTTTCCCTCTTTCCATCACCCCGCCCCATTCTCCCGCTTTCCATCACCCCGCCCCATTCTCCCTCTTTCTATCACCCCTCCCCCTTCTCCCGCTTTCCATCACCCCGCCCAATTCTTCCTCTTTCTATCACCCCTCCCCATTCTCCCTCTTTCTATTACCCCGCCCCATTCTCCCGCTTTCCATCACCCCGCCCCATTTTCCCTCTTTCCATCACCCCGCCCCATTCTCCCTCTTTCCATCACCCCGCCACATTCTCCCGCTTTCCATCACCCCTCCCCATTCTCCCTCTTTCCGTCACCCCACCCCATTGGGAGAATGTGGCGGGGTGATGGAAAACGGGAGAATGGGGTGGGGTTATGGGAAGCGGGAGAATGAGGCGGGATGATGGAAAGCGGGAGAATGGGGCGGGGTGATGGAAGGAGGGAGAATGGGGCGGGGTGATGGAAGGAGGGATAATGGGGCGGAGTGATGGAAAGCGGGAGAATGGGACGGGGTGATGGAAAGCGGGAGAATGGGGCGGGGTGATGGAAAGCGAGAGAATGGGGCGGGGTGATGGAAGGAGGGAGAATGGGGAGGGGTGATGGAAAGCGGGGGAATGGGGCGGGATGATGGGAAGCGGAAGAATGGGGCGGGGTGATGGAAGGAGGGAGAATGGGGCGGGATGATGGAAAGCGGGAGAATGGGGCGGGGTGATGGAAAGCGGGAGAATGGGGCGGGGTGATGGAAATCGGGAGAATGGGGCGGGGTGATGGAAAGCGGGAGAATGGGGCGGGGTGATGGAAGGAGGGAGAATGGGGCGGGGTGATAGAAAGCGGGAGAATGTGGCGGGGTGATGGAAAGCGGGAGAATGGGGCGAGGTGATGGAAAGCGGGAGAATGGGGCGGGGTGATGGAAGGAGGGAGAATGGAACGGGGTGATGGAAGGAGGGAGAATGGGGCGGGGTGATGGAAAGCGGGAGAATGGGGCGGGGTGATGGAAGGAGGGAGAATGGGACGGGGTGATGGAAGGAGGGAGAATGGGGTGGGGTGATGGAAAGCGGGAGAATGTGGCGGGGGGATGGAAAGAGGGAGAATGGGGCGGGGTGATGGAAAGCGGGAGAATGGGGCTGGGTGATGGAAAGCGGGAGAATGGGGCGGGGTGATGGAAAGCGGGAGAATGGGGCGGGGTGATGGAAAGCGGGAGAATGGGGCGGGGTGATGGAAGGCGGGAGAATGGGGCGGGGTGATGGAAAGCGGGAGAGTGGGGCGGGGTGATGGAAAGCGGGAGAATGGGGCGGGTGATGGAAAGCGGGTGAATGGGGCAGGGTGATGGAAAGCGGGAGAATGGGGCGGGGTGATGGAAAGCAAAAGAATGGGGCGGGGTGATGGAAAGCGGGAGAATGGGGCGGGTGATGGAAAGCGGAAGAATGAGGCGGGGTGATGGAAGGAGGGAGAATGGGGAGGGGTGATGGAAAGCGGTGGAATGGGGCGGGATGATGGGAAGCGGAAGAATGGGGCGGGGTGACAGAAAGCGGGAGAATGGGGCGGGGTGATGAAAAGCAGGAGAATGGGGCGGGGAGATGGAAAGCGGGAGAAAGGGGCGGGGTGATGGAAAGTGGGAGAATGGGGCAGGCTGATGGAAAGCAGGAGAATGGGGCGGGGTGATGGAAGGAGGGAGAATGGGGCGGGGTGATGGAAGGAGAGAGAAGGGGGCGGGGTGATGGAAAGTGGGAAAATGTGGCGGGGTGATGGAAAGCGGGAGAATGGGGTGGGGTTATGGGAAGCGGGAGAATGGGGCGGGGTGATGGAAAGCGGGAGAATGGGGCGGGGTGATGGAAGGAGGGAGAATGGGACGGGGTGATGGAAGGAGGGACAATGGGGTGGGGTGATGGAAAGCGGGAGAATGGGGCGGGGTGATGGAAAGCGGGAGAATGGGGCTGGGTGATGGAAAGCGGGAGAATGGAGTGGGGTGATGGAAAGCGGGAGAATGGGGCAGGGTGATGGAAAGCGGGAGAATGGGGCGGGGTGATGGAAAGCGGGAGATTGGGGCAGGGTGATGGAAAGCGGGAGAATGGGGCGGGGTGATGGAAAGCGGGAGAATGGGGCTGGGTGATGGAAAGCGGGAGAATGGGGCGGGGTGATGGAAAGCGGGAGAATGGGGCGGGGTGATGGAAAGAGGGAGAATGGGGCGGGGTGATGGAAGGCGGGAGAATGGGGCGGGGTGATGGAAAGCGGGAGAGTGGGGCGGGGTGATGGAAAGCGGGAGAATGGGGCGGGTGATGGAAAGCGGGTGAATGGGGCAGGGTGATGGAAAGCGGGAGAATGGGGCGGGGTGATGGAAAGCAAAAGAAAGGGGCGGGGTGATGGAAAGCGGGAGAATGGGGCGGGGTGATGGAAAGCGGGAGAATGGGGCGGGTGATGGAAAGCGGAAGAATGGGGCGGGGTGATGGAAAGCGGGAGAATGGGGCGGGTTGATGGAAAGCGGGAGAATGGGGCGGGGAGATGGAAAGCGGGAGAAAGGGGCGGGGTGATGGAAAGTGGGAGAATGGGGCAGGCAGATGGAAAGCAGGAGAATGGGGCGGGGTGATGGAAGGAGGGAGAATGGGGCGGGGTGATGGAAGGAGAGAGAAGGGGGCGGGGTGATGGAAAGTGGGAAAATGTGGCGGGGTGATGGAAAGCGGGAGAATGGGGTGGGGTTATGGGAAGCGGGAGAATGGGGCGGGGTGATGGAAAGCGGGAGAATGGGGCGGGGTGATGGAAGGAGGGAGAATGGGGCGGGGTGATGGAAAGCGGGAGAATGGGGCGGGGTGATGGAAGGAGGGAGAATGGGGCGGGGTGATGGAAAGCGGGAGAATGGGGCGGTATGATGGAAAGCGGGAGAATGGGGCGGGGTGATGGAAAGCGAGAGAATAGGGCGGGGTGATGGAAGGAGGGAGAATGGGGAGGGGTGATGGAAAGCGGGGGAATGGGGCGAGATGATGGGAAGCGGAAGAATGGGGCGGGGTGATAGAAGGAGGGAGAATGGGGCGGGGTGATGGAAGGAGAGAGAAGGGGGCGGGGTGGTGGAAAGTGGGAGAATGTGGCGGGGTGATGGAAAGCGGGAGAATGGGGTGGGGTTATGGGAAGCAGGAGATTGGGGCGGGGTGATGGAAAGCGGGAGAATGGGGCGGGGTGATCGAAGGAGGGAGAATGGGGGGGGGGGGTGATGGAAGGAGGGAGAATGGGGCGGAGTGATGGAAAGCGGGAGAATGGGGCGGGGTGATGGAAGGAGGGAGAATGGGGCGGGGTGATGGAAAGCGAGAGAATGGGGCAGGGTGATGGAAGGAGGGAGAATGGGGAGGGGTGATGGAAAGCGGGGGAATGGGGCGGGGTGATAGAAAGAGGGAGAATGGGGCAGGGTGATAGAAAGCGGGAGAATGTGGCGGGGTGATGGAAAGCGGGAGAATGGGGCGGGGTGATGGAAGGAGGGAGAATGGGGCGGGGTGATGGAAGGAGGGAGAATGGGGCGGGGTGATGGAAAGCGGAAGAATGGGGCGGGGTGATGGAAAGCAGAAGAATGGGGCGGGGTGATGGAAAGCGGGAGAATGGGGCGAGGTGATGGAAAGCGGGAGAATTGGGCGGGTGATGGAAAGCGGAAGAATGGGGCGGGGTGATGGAAGGAGGGAGAATGGGGAGTGGTGATGGAAAGCGGTGGAATGGGGCGGGATGATGGGAAGCGGAAGAATGGGGCGGGGTGATGGAAAGCGGGAGAATGGGGCGGGGTGATGGAAAGCGGGAGAGTGGGGCGGGGAGATGGAAAGCGGGAGAAAGGGGCGGGGTGATGGAAAGCGGGAGAATGGGGCGGGGTGATGGAAAGCGGGAGAATGGGGCGGGGTGATGGATGGAGGGAGAATGGGGCGGGTGATGGAAGGAGAGAGAAGGGGGCGGGGTGATGGAAAGTGGGAAAATGTGGCGGGGTGATGGAAAGCGGGAGAATGGGGTGGGGTTATGGGAAGCGGAAGAATGGGGCGGGGTGATGGAAAGTGGGAGAATGGGGCGGGGTGATGGAATGAGGGAGAATGGGGCGGGGTGATGGAAGGAGGGAGAATGGGGCTGGGTGATGGAAGGAGAGAGAAGGGGGCGGGGTGATGGAAAGTGGGAAAATGGGGCAGGGTGATGGAATGAGGGAGAATGGGGCGGGGTGATGGAAGGAGGGAGAATGGGGCGGGGTGATGGAAAGCGGGAGAATGGGGTGGGGTGATGGAAGGAGGGAGAATGGGGCGGGGTGATGGAAAGCGGGAGAATGGGGCGGGGTGATGGAAAGCGGGAGAATCGGGCGGGGTGATGGAAAGGGAGAGAATGGGGCGGGGTGATGGAAGGAGGGAGAATGGGGAGGGGTGATGGAAAGCGGGGGAATGGGGCGGGATGATGGGAAGCGGAAGAATGGGGCGGGGTGATGGAAAGCCGGAGAATGGGGTGGGGTGATGGAAAGCGGGAGAATGGGGCGGGGAGATGGAAAGCGGGAGAAAGGGGAGGGGTGATGGAAAGCGGGAGAATGGGGCGGGCTGATGGAAAGCGGGAGAATGGGGCGGGGCGATGGAAGGAGGGAGAATGGGGGGGGGTGATGGAAGGAGAGAGAAGGGGGCGGGGTGATGTAAAGTGGGAAAATGGGGCGGGGAGATGGGAAGCGGGAGAATGGGGCGGGGTGATGGGAAGCGGGAGAATGGGGCGGGGTGATGGAAAGCGGGAGAATGGGGCGGGGTGATGGAAGGAGGGAGAATGAGGCGGGGTAATGGAAGGAGGGAGAATGGGGCGGGGTGATGGAAAGCGGGAGAATGGGGCGGGGTGATGGAAAGCGGGAGAATGGGGTGGAGTGATGGAAAGCGGGAGAATGGGGCGGGGTGATGGAAAGCGGGAGAATGGGGCGGGGTGATGGAAAGCGGGAGTGGGGTGGGGTGATGGAAAGCGGGAGAATGGGGCGGGGTTATGGAAAGCGGGAGAATGGGGCGGGGTGATGGAAAGCGGGAGAATGGGGCGGGGTGATGGAAAGCGGGTGAATGGGGCGGGGTGATGGAAAGCGTGAGAATGGGGTGAGGTGATGGAAAGCGGGAGAATGGGGCGAGGTGATGGAGAGCGGGAGAATGGGGCTGGGTGATGGAAGGAGGGAGAATGGGGAGGGGTGACGGAAAGGAGGGAAATGGGGCGGGATGATGGGAAGCGGGAGAATGGGGTGGGGTGATGGAAAGCGGGAGAATGGGGCGGGGTTATGGAAAGCGGGAGAATGGGGCGGGGAGATGGAAAGCGGGAGAATGGGGCGGGGTGATGGAAAGCGGGAGCATGGGGCGGGCTGATGGAAAGCGGGAGAAAGGGGCGGGGTGATGGAAGGAGGGAGAATGGGGCGGGGTGATGGAAGGAGGGAGAAGGGGGCGGGGTGATGGAAACCGGGAGAATGGGGCGGGGTGATGGAAAGCGGGAGAATGGGGCGGGGTGATGGAAAGCGGGAGAATGGAGCGGGCTGATGGAAAGCGGGAGAATGGGGCGGGGTGATGGAAGGAGAGAGAATGGGGCGGGGTGATGGAAGGAGGGAGAATGGGGCGGGGTGATGGAAAGTGGAAGAATGTGGCGGGGTGATGGAAAGCGGTAGAATGGAGCGGGGTGATGGAAGGAGGGAGAATGGGGCGGGGTGATGGAAAGAGGGAGAATAGGGCGGGGTGATGGAAAGCGGGGGAATGGGGCGGGATGATGGAAAGCAGGAGAATGGGGCGGGGTGACGGAAAGAGGGAGAATGGGGCAGGGGGACGGAAATCGAGAAAATTGGGCGGGGTGATGGAAAGTGGGAGAATGGGTCGGGGTGATGGAAAGCGGGAGAATGGGGCGGGGTGATGGAAAGCGGGAGAATGGGGTGGGGTGATAGAAAGTGGGAGAATGGGGCGGGGTGATGGAAAGCGGGAGAATGGGAAGGGGTGAAGGAAAGCGGGAGAATGGGGCGGAGTGATGGAAAGCGGGAGAATGGGGTGGGGTGATGGAAAGCGGGTGAATGGGGCGGGGTGATGGAAAGCAGGAGACTGGGGTGGGGTGATGGAAAGCGGGAGAATGGTGCGGGGTGATGGAAAGCGGGAGAATGGGGCGGGGTGATGGAAAGCGGGAGAATGGGGAGGGGTGATGGAAAGCGGGAGAATAGGGCGGGGTGATGGAAAGCGGGAGAATGGGGTGAGGTGATGGAAAGAGGGAGAATGGGGTGGGGTGATCGAAGGAGGGAGAATGGGGCAGGGTGATGGAAAGCGGGAGAATGGGGCGAGATGATGGGAAGCGGGAAAATGGGGCGCGGTAATGGAAAGCGGGAGAATGGGGCGTGGTGATGGAAAGCGGGAGAATGGGCGTGTGATGGAAAGCGGGAGAATTGGGCGGGGTGATGGAAAGCGGGAGAACGGGGCAGGGTGATGGAAAGCAGGAGAATGGGGCGGGGTGATGGAAAGCAGGGGAATGGGGCGGGGTGATGGAAAGCGGGAGAATGGGGCGAGGTGATGGAAAGCGGGAGAATGGGGCGGGGTGATGGAAGGAGGGAGAATGAGGCGGGGTGATAGAAGGTGGGAGGATGGGGTGGGGTGATGGAAAGCGGGAGAATGGGGCGGGGAGATGGAAAGCGGGAGAATGGGGCGGGGTGATGGAAAGCGGGAGAATGGGGCGGGCTGATGGAAAGCGGGAGAATGGGGCGGGGTGATGGAAGGAGGGAGAATGGGGCGGGGTGATGGAAGGAGGGAGAAGGGGGCGGGGTGATGGAAACCGGGAGAATGGGGCGGGGTGATGGAAAGCGGGAGAATGGGGAGGGGTGTTGGAAAGCGGGAGAATGGGGCGGGGTGATGAAAAGCGGGAGAATGGGGCGGGGTGATGGAGAGCGGGAGAATGGGACGGGGTGATGGAAAGCGGGAGATGGGGCGGGTGATGGAAAGCGGGTGAATGGTGCGGGGTGATGGAAAGCGGGAGAATGGGGCGGGGTGATGGAAAGCAGAAGAATGGGGCGGGGTGATGGAAAGCGGGAGAATGGGGTGAGGTGATGGAAAGCAGGAGAATGGGGCGGGTGATGGAAAGCGGGAGAATGGAGCGGGGTGATGGAAGGAGGGAGAATGGAGAGGGGTGATGGAAAGCGGGGGAACGGGGCGGGATGATGGGAAGCGGAAGAATGGGGCGGGGTGATGGAAGGCGGGAGAATGGTGCGGGGTGATGGAAGGAGGGAAAATAAAGCGGGGTGATGGAAGGAGGGAGAATGGGGCGGGGTGATGGAAAGCGGGAGAATGGGGCAGGGTGATAGAAAGCGGGAGAATGGGGCGGGGTGATGGATTGCGGGAGAATGGGGCGGGGTCATGGAAAGCGGGAGAATGGGGCGGGGTGATGGAAGGAGGGAGATTGGGGCGGGGTGATGGAAAGCGGGAGAATGGGGCGGGGTGATGGAAAGCGGGAGAATGGGGCGGGGTGATGGAAAGCGGGAGTATGGGGCGGGGTGATGGAAAGCGGGAGAATGAGGCATGGTGATGGAAAGCAGGAGAATGGGGCATGTTGCTGGAAAGCGGGAGAATGGGGCGGGGTGATGGTAGGAGGGAGAATGGGGTGGGGTGATGGAAGGAGGGAGAATGGGGCGGGTGATGGAAGGAGGGAGAATGGGGCGGGGTGATGGAAAGTGGGAGAATGTGGCGGGGTGATGGAAAGCAGTAGAATGGGGCGGGGTTATGGAAAGCGGGAGAATGGGGCGGGGTGATGGAATGCGGGAGAATGGGGCGGGGTGATGGAAAGCGGGAGAATGGGGCGGGGTGATGGGAAGCGGGAGAATGGGGCGGGGTGATGGAAAGCGGGAGAATGGGGCGGGGTGATGGGAGGAGGGAGAATGAGGCGGGGTGATGGAAGGAGGGAGAATGGGGCGGGGTGATGGAAAGCGGGAGAATGGGGTGGGGTGATGGAAAGCGGGAGAATGGGGTGGAGTGATGGAAAGCGGGAGAATGGGGCGGGGTGATGGAAAGCGGGAGTGGGGTGGGGTGATGGAAAGCGGGAGAATGGGGCGGGGTGATGGAAAGCGGGAGAATGGGGCGGGGTGATGGAAAGCGGGAGAATGGGGCGGGGTGATGGAAAGCGGGTGAATGGGGCGGGGTGATGGAAAGCGTGAGAATGGGGCGAGGTGATGGAAAGCGGGAGAATGGGGCGAGGTGATGGAGAGCGGGAGAATGGGGCTGGGTGATGGAAGGAGGGAGAATGGGGAGGGGTGACGGAAAGGAGGGAAATGGGGCGGGATGATGGGAAGCGGGAGAATGGGGCGGGGTGATGGAAAGCGGGAGAATGGGGCGGGGAGATAGAAAGTGGGAGAAAGGGGCGGGGTGATGGGAAGCGGAAGCAAGGTGTGGGGTGATGGAAAGCGGGAGAATGGGGCGGGGTGATGGAAAGCAGAAGAATGGGGCGGGGTGATGGAAAGTGGGAGAATGGGGCGAGGTGATGGAAAGCAGGAGAATGGGGCGGGTGATGGAAAGCGGGAGAATGGGGCGGGGTGATGGAAGGAGGGAGAATGGGGAGGGGAGATGGAAAGCGGGGGAATGGGGCGGGATGATGGGAAGCGGAAGAATGGGGCGGGGTGATGGAAAGCGGGAGAATGGGGCAGGGTGATGGAAAGCGGGAGAATGGGGCGGGGAGATGGAAAGCGGGAGAATGGGGCGGGGTGATGGAAGGAGGGAGAATGGGGCGGGGTGATGGAAGGAGGGAGAATGGGGCGGGGTGATGGAAAGTGGGAGAATGTGGCGGGGTGATGGAAAGCGGGAGATGGGGCTGGGGTTATGGGAAGCGGAGAATGGGGCGGGGTGATGGAAGGAGGGAGAATGGGGCGGGGTGATGGAAAGAGGGAGAATGGGGCGGGGTGATGGAAAGCGGGAGAATGGGGCGGGGTGATGGAAAGCGGGAGAATTGGGCGGGGTGATGGAAAGCGGGAGAATGGGGCGGGGTGATGGAAGGAGGGAGAATAGGGCGGGGTGATGGAAAGCGGGAGATGGGGCTGGGGTTATGGGAAGCGGAGAATGGGGCGGGGTGATGGAAGGAGGGAGAATGGGGCGGGGTGATGGAAGGAGGGAGAATGGGGCGGGGTGATGGAAAGCGGGAGAATGGGGCGGGGTGATGGAAAGCGGGAGAATGGGGCGAGGTGATGGAAAGCGGGAAAATGGGGCGGGGTGATGGAAAGCGGGAGAATAGGGCTGGGTGATGGAAAGCGGGAGAATGGGGCGGGGTGATGGAAGGAGGGAGAATGAGGCAGGGTGATGGAAGGAGGGAGAATGGGGCGGGGTGATGGAAAGCGGGAGAATGGGGCGGAGTGATGGAACGCGGGAGAATGGGGCGGAGTGATGGAAAGCGGGACAATGGGGCGGGGTGATGGAAAGCGGGAGAATGGGGCGGGGTGATGGAAAGCGGGAGAATGGGGAGGGGTGTTGGAAAGCGGGAGAATGGGGTGGGGTGATGAAAAGCGGGAGAATGGGGCGGGGTGATGGAGAGCCGGAGAATGGGGCGGGGTGATGGAAAGCGGGAGATGGGGCGGGTGATGGAAAGCGGGTGAATGGTGCGGGGTGATGGAAAGCGGGAGAATGGGGCGGGGTGATGGAAAGCAGAAGAATGGGGCGGGGTGATGGAAAGCGGGAGAATGGGGCGAGGTGATGGAAAGCAGGAGAATGGGGCGGGTGATGGAAAGCCGGAGAATGGAGCGGGGTGATGGAAGGAGGGAGAATGGGGAGGGGTGATGGAAAGCGTGGGAACGGGGCGGGATGATGGGAAGCGGAAGAATGGGGCGGGGTGATGGAAGGCGGGAGAATGGTGCGGGGTGATGGAAGGAGGGAAAATAAAGCGGGGTGATGGAAGGAGGGAGAATGGGGCGGGGTGATGGAAAGCGGGAGAATGGGGCGTGGTGATAGAAAGCGGGAGAATGGGGCGGGGTGATGGATTGCGGGAGAATGGGGCGGGGTCATGGAAAGCGGGAGAATGGGGCGGGGTGATGGAAGGAGGGAGATTGGGGCGGGGTGATGGAAAGCGGGAGAATGGGGCGGGGTGATGGAAAGCGGGAGAATGGGGCGGGGTGATGGAAAGCGGGAGTATGGGGCGAGGTGATGGAAAGCGGGAGAATGAGGCGTGGTGATGGAAAGCGGGAGAACGGGGCATGTTGATGGAAAGCGGGAGAATGGGGCGGGGTGATGGTAGGAGGGAGAATGGGGTGGGGTGATGGAAGGAGGGAGAATGGGGCGGGTGATGGAAGGAGGGAGAATGGGGCGGGGTGATGGAAAGTGGGAGAATGTGGCGGAGTGATGGAAAGCAGGAGAATGGGGCGGGGTTATGGAAAGCGGGAGAATGGGGCGGGGTGATGGAATGCGGGAGAATGGGGTGGGGTGATGGAAAGCGGGAGAATGGGGCGGGGTGATGGGAAGCGGGAGAATGGGGCGGGGTGATGGAAGGAGGGAGATTGGGGCGGGGTGATGGAAAGCGGGAGAATGGGGCGGGGTGATGGAAAGCGGGAGAATGGGGCGGGGTGATGGAAAGCGGGAGTATGGGGCGAGGTGATGGAAAGCGGGAGAATGAGGCGTGGTGATGGAAAGCGGGAGAACGGGGCATGTTGATGGAAAGCGGGAGAATGGGGCGGGGTGATGGTAGGAGGGAGAATGGGGTGGGGTGATGGAAGGAGGGAGAATGGGGCGGGTGATGGAAGGAGGGAGAATGGGGCGGGGTGATGGAAAGTGGGAGAATGTGGCGGAGTGATGGAAAGCAGGAGAATGGGGCGGGGTTATGGAAAGCGGGAGAATGGGGCGGGGTGATGGAATGCGGGAGAATGGGGTGGGGTGATGGAAAGCGGGAGAATGGGGCGGGGTGATGGGAAGCGGGAGAATGGGGCGGGGTGATGGAAAGCGGGAGAATGGGGCGGGGTGATGGAAGGAGGGAGAATGAGGCGGGGTGATGGAAGGAGGAAGAATGGGGCGGGGTGATGGAAAGCGGGAGAATGGGGCGGGGTGATGGAAAGCGGGAGAATGGGGTGGAGTGATGGAAAGCGGGAGAATGGGGCGGGGTGATGGAAAGCGGGAGAATGGGGCGGGGTGATGGAAAGCGGGAGTGGGGTGGGGTGATGGAAAGCGGGAGAATGGGGCGGGGTGATGGAAAGCGGGAGAATGGGGCGGGGTGATGGAAAGTGGGAGAATGGGGCGGGGTGATGGAAAGCGGGTGAATGGGGCGGGGTGATGGAAAACGTGAGAATGGGGCGAGGTGATGGAAAGCGGGAGAATGGGGCGAGGTGATGGAGAGCGGGAGAATGGGGCTGGGTGATGGAAGGAGGGAAATGGGGCGGGATGATGGGAAGCGGGAGAATGGGGCGGGGTGATGGAAAGCGGGAGAATGGGGCGGGGTTATGGAAAGCGGGAGAATGGGGCGGGGAGATGGAAAGCGGGAGAATGGGGCGGGGTGATGGAAAGCGGGAGAATGGGGCGGGCTGATGGAAATCGGGAGAAAGGGGCGGGGTGATGGAAGGAGGGAGAATGGGGCGGGGTGATGGAAGGAGGGAGAAGGGGGCGGGGTGATGGAAACCGGGAGAATGGGGCGGGGTGATGGAAAGCGGGAGAATGGGGCGGGGTGATGGAAAGCGGGAGAATGGAGCGGGCTGATGGAAAGCGGGAGAATGGGGCTGGGTGATGGAAGGAGGGAGAATGGGGCGGGGTGATGAAAGGAGGGAGAATGGGGCGGGGTGATGGAAAGTGGAAGAATGTGGCGGGGTGATGGAAAGCGGTAGAATGGGGCGGGGTGATGGAAGGAGGGAGAATGGGGCGGGGTGATGGAAAGAGGGAGAATAGGGTGGGGTGATGGAAAGCGGGGGAATGGGGCGGGATGATGGAAAGCGGGAGAATGGGGCGGGGTGACGGAAAGAGGGAGAATGGGGCAGGGGGACGGAAATCGAGAGAATTGGGTGGGGTGATGGAAAGTGGGAGAATGGGTCGGGGTGATGGAAAGCGGGAGAATGGGGCGGGGTGATGGAAAGCGGGAGAATGGGGTGGGGTGATAGAAAGTGGGAGAATGGGGCGGGGTGATGGAAAGCGGGAGAATGGGAAGGGGTGAAGGAGAGCGGGAGAATGGGGCGGAGTGATGGAAAGCGGGAGAATGGGGCGGGGTGATGGATAGCGGGAGAATGGGGCGAGGTGATGGAAAGCAGGAGAATGGGGCGGGTGATGGAAAGCCGGAGAATGGAGCGGGGTGATGGAAGGAGGGAGAATGGGGAGGGGTGATGGAAAGCGGGGGAACGGGGCGGGATGATGGGAAGCGGAAGAATGGGGCGGGGTGATGGAAGGCGGGAGAATGGTGGGGGGTGATGGAAGGAGGGAAAATAAAGCGGGGTGATGGAAGGAGGGAGAATGGGGCGGGGTGATGGAAAGCGGGAGAATGGGGCGGGGTGATAGAAAGCGGGAGAATGGGGCGGGGTGATGGATTGCGGGAGCATGGGGCGGGGTCATGGAAAGCGGGAGAACGGGGCGGGGTGATGGAAGGAGGGAGATTGGGGCGCGGTGATGGAAAGCGGGAGAATGGGGCGGGGTGATGGAAAGCGGGAGAATGGGGCGAAGTGATGGAAAGCGGGAGTCTGGGGCGAGGTGATGGAAAGCGGGAGAATGAGGCGTGTTGATGGAAAGCGGGAGAATGGGGCATGTTGATGGAAAGCGGGAGAATGGGGCGGGGTGATGGTAGGAGGGAGAATGGGGTGGGGTGATGGAAGGAGGGAGAATGGGGCGGGTGATGGAAGGAGGGAGAATGGGGCGGGGTGATGGAAAGTGGGAGAATGTGGCGGAGTGATGGAAAGCAGGAGAATGGGGCGGGGTTATGGAAAGCGGGAGAATGGGGCGGGGTGATGGAATGCGGGAGAATGGGGCGGGGTGATGGAAAGCGGGAGAATGGGGCGGGGTGATGGGAAGCGGGAGAATGGGGCGGGGTGATGGAAAGTGGGAGAATGGGTCGGGGTGATGGAAAGCGGGAGAATGGGGCGGGGTGATGGAAAGCGGGAGAATGGGGTGGGGTGATAGAAAGTGGGAGAATGGGGCGGGGTGATGGAAAGCGGGAGAATGGGAAGGGGTGAAGGAAAGCGGGAGAATGGGGCGGAGTGATGGAAAGCGGGAGAATGGGGCGGGGTGATGGAAAGCGGGAGTGGGGTGGGGTGATGGAAAGCGGGAGAATGGGGCGGGGTGATGGAAAGCGGGAGAATGGGGCGGGGTGATGGAAAGCGGGAGAATGGGGCGGGGTGATGGAAAGCGGGTGAATGGGGCGGGGTGATGGAAAACGTGAGAATGGGGCGAGGTGATGGAAAGCGGGAGAATGGGGCGGGGTGATGGAAAGCGGGAGAATGGGGCGGGCTGATGGAAATCGGGAGAAAGGGGCGGGGTGATGGAAGGAGGGAGAATGGGGCGGGGTGATGGAAAGAGGGAGAATAGGGCGGGGTGATGGAAAGCGGGGGAATGGGGCGGGATGATGGAAAGCGGGAGAATGGGGCGGGGTGACGGAAAGAGGGAGAATGGGGCAGGGGGACGGAAATCAAGAGAATTGGGCGGGGTGATGGAAAGTGGGAGAATGGGTCGGGGTGATGGAAAGCGGGAGAATGGGGCGGGGTGATGGAAAGCGGGAGAATGGGGTGGGGTGATAGAAGGTGGGAGAATGGGGCGGGGTGATGGAAAGCGGGAGAATGGGAAGGGGTGAAGGAAAGCGGGAGAATGGGGCGGAGTGATGGAAAGCGGGAGAATGGGGCGGGGTGATGGATAGCGGGACAATGGGGCGGGGTGATGGAAAGCGGGAGAATGGGGCGGGGTGATGGAAAGCGGGAGAATGGGGAGGGGTGTTGGACAGCGGGAGAATGGGGCGGGGTGATGAAAAGCGGGAGAATGGGGCGGGGTGATGGAGAGCGGGAGAATGGGGCGGGGTGATGGAAAGCGGGAGATGGGGCGGGTGATGGAAAGCGGGTGAATGGTGCGGGGTGATGGAAAGCGGGAGAATGGGGCGGGGTGATGGAAAGCAGAAGAATGGGGCGGGGTGATGGAAAGCGGGAGAATGGGGCGAGGTGATGGAAATCAGGAGAATGGGGCGGGTGATGGAAAGCCGGAGAATGGAGCGGGGTGATGGAAGGAGGGAGAATGGGGAGGGGTGATGGAAAGCGGGGGAACGGGGCGGGATGATGGGAAGCGGAAGAATGGGGCGGGGTGATGGAAGGCGGGAGAATGGTGCGGGGTGATGGAAGGAGGGAAAATAAAGCGGGGTGATGGAAGGAGGGAGAATGGGGCAGGGTGATGGAAAGCGGGAGAATGGGGCGGGGTGATAGAAAGTGGGAGAATGGGGCGGGGTGATGGATTGCGGGAGAATGGGGCGGGGTCATGGAAAGCGGGAGAATGGGGCGGGGTGATGGAAGGAGGGAGATTGGGGCGGGGTGATGGAAAGCGGGATAATCGGGCGGGGTGATGGAAAGTGGGAGAATGGGGCGGGGTGATGGAAAGCGGGAGTATGGGGCGAGGTGATGGAAAGCGGGAGAATGAGGCGTGGTGATGGAAAGCGGGAGAATGGGGCATGTTGATGGAAAGCGGGAGAATGGGGCGGGGTGATGGTAGGAGGGAGAATGGGGTGGGGTGATGGAAGGAGGGAGAATGGGGCGGGTGATGGAAGGAGGGAGAATGGGGCGGGGTGATGGAAAGTGGGAGAATGTGGCGGGGTGATCGAAAGCAGGAGAATGGGGCGGGGTTATGGAAAGCGGGAGAATGGGGCGGGGTGATGGAATGCGGGAGAATGGGGCGGGGTGATGGAAAGCGGGAGAATGGGGCGGGGTGATGGGAAGCGGGAGAATGGGGCGGGGTGATGGAAAGCGGGAGAATGGGGCGGGGTGATGGAAGGAGGGAGAATGAGGCGGGGTGATGGAAGGAGGGAGAATGGGGCGGGGTGATGGAAAGCGGGAGAATGGGGCGGGGTGATGGAAAGCGGGAGAATGGGGTGGAGTGATGGAAAGCGGGAGAATGGGGCGGGGTGATGGAAAGCGGGAGAATGGGGCGGGGTGATGGAAAGCGGGAGTGGGGTGGGGTGATGGAAAGCGGGAGAATGGGGCGGGGTTATGGAAAGCGGGAGAATGGGGCGGGGTGATGGAAAGCGGGAGAATGGGGCGGGGTGATGGAAAGCGGGTGAATGGGGCGGGGTGATGGAAAGCGTGAGAATGGGGCGAGGTGATGGAAAGCGGGAGAATGGGGCGAGGTGATGGAGAGCGGGAGAATGGGGCTGGGTGATGGAAGGAGGGAGAATGGGGAGGGGTGACGGAAAGGAGGGAAATGGGGCGGGATGATGGGAAGCGGGAGAATGGGGCGCGGTGATGGAAAGCGGGAGAATGGGGCGGGGTTATGGAAAGCGGGAGAATGGGGCGGGGAGATGGAAAGCGGGAGAATGGGGCGGGGTGATGGAAAGCGGGAGAATGGGGCGGGCTGATGGAAAGCGGGAGAAAGGGGCGGGGTGATGGAAGGAGGGAGAATGGGGCGGGGTGATGGAAGGAGGGAGAAGGGGGCGGGGTGATGGAAACCGGGAGAATGGGGCGGGGTGATGGAAAGCGGGAGAATGGGGCGGGGTGATGGAAAGCGGGAGAATGGAGCGGGCTGATGGAAAGCGGGAGAATGGGGCGGGGTGATGGAAGGAGGGAGAATGGGGCGGGGTGATGGAAGGAGGGAGAATGGGGCGGGGTGATGGAAAGTGGAAGAATGTGGCGGGGTGATGGAAAGCGGTAGAATGGGGCGGGGTGATGGAAGGAGGGAGAATGGGGCAGGATGATGGAAAGAGGGAGAATAGGGCGGGGTGATGGAAAGCGGGGGAATGGGGCGGGATGATGGAAAGCAGGAGAATGGGGCGGGGTGACGGAAAGAGGGAGAATGGGGCAGGGGGACGGAAATCGAGAGAATTGGGCGGGGTGATGGAAAGTGGGAGAATGGGTCGGGGTGATGGAAAGCGGGAGAATGGGGCGGGGTGATGGAAAGCGGGAGAATGGGGTGGGGTGATAGAAAGTGGGAGAATGGGGCGGGGTGATGGAAAGCGGGAGAATGGGAAGGGGTGAAGGAAAGCGGGAGAATGGGGCGGAGTGATGGAAAGCAGGAGAATGGGGTGGGGTGATGGAAAGTGGGTGAATGGGGCGGGGTGATGGAAAGCAGGAGACTGGGGTGGGGTGATGGAAAGCGGGAGAATGGTGCGGGGTGATGGAAAGCGGGAGAATGGGGCGGGGTGATGGAAAGCGGGAGAATGGGGCGGGGTGATGGAAAGCGGGAGAATAGGGCGGGGTGATGGAAAGCGGGAGAATGGGGTGAGGTGATGGAAAGCAGGAGAATGGGGTGGGGTGATGGAAGGAGGGAGAATGGGGCGAGTGATGGAAAGCGGGAGAATGGGGCGAGATGATGGGAAGCGGGAAAATGGGGCGCGGTAATGGAAAGCGGGAGAATGGGGCGTGGTGATGGAAAACGGGAGAATGGGCGTGTTATGGAAAGCGGGAGAATGGGGCGGGGTGATGGAAAGCGGGAGAATGGGGCGAGGTGATGGAAAGCGGAAGAATGGGGCGGGGTGATGGAAAGCGGGAGAATGGGGCGGGTGATGGAAATTGGGAGAATAGGGCGGGGTGATGGATGGAGGGAGAATGGGGCGGGGTCATGGAAGGAGGGAGAATGGGGCGGGGTGATGGAAAGCAGGAGAATGGGGAGGGGTGATGGAAAGCGGGAGAATGGTGTGGGGTGATGGAATGCAGGAGAATAGGGCGTGGTGATGGAAAGCGGGAGAATGGGGTGGGGTGATGGAAGGAGGGAGAATCTGGCAGGGTGGTGGAAAGCGGGAGAATGGGGCAGGTTGATGGAAAGCGGGAGAATGGGGCAGGGTGATGGAAAGCGGGAGAATGGGGCGAGGTGATGGAAAGCGGGAGAATGGGGCGGGGTGATGGAAAGCGGGAGAATGGGGCGGGGTGATGGAAGGAGGGAGAATGGGGACGGGTGATAGAAAGTGGGAGAATGGGGCGGGTTGATAGGAAGGAAGAATGAGGCGGGGTGATGGAAAGCGGGAGAATGGAGCAGCTGATGGAAAGCTGGAGAATGGGGCGGGGTGAGATAAAGCGGGAGAATGGGGCGGGGTGATGGAAAGCGGGAATATGGGGTGGGGTGATGGAAAGCGGGAGAATGGGGTGGGGTGATGGAAAGCGGGAGAATGGGGCGGGGTGATGGAAAGCGGGAGAATGGGGCGGGTTATGGAAAGCGGCAGAATGGGGCGGGTTATGGAAAGCGGGAGAATGGGGCGGGGTGATGGAAAGCGGGGGAATTAGGCGGGCTGAAGGAAAGCGGGAAAATGGGGCGGGATGATGGAAGGAGGGAGAATGGGGCGGGGTGCTGGAAGGAGGGAGAATGGGGCAGGGCGATGGAAGGAGGGAGAATGGGGCGGGCTGCTGGAAAGTGGGAGAACGTGGCTGGGTGATGGAAAGCGGGAGAATAGGGCGGGGTTATGGAAAGCGGGAGAATGGGGCGGGGTGATGGAAAGCGGGGGAATGGGGCGGGATGATGGGAAGCGGAAGAATGGGGCGGGGTGATGGAAAGCGGGAGAATGGGGCGGGGAGATGGAAAGCGGGAGAATGGGGCGGGGTGATGGAAGGAGGGAGAATGGGGCGGGGTGATGGAAGGAGGGAGAATGGGGCGGGGTGATGGAAAGTGGGAGAATGTGGCGGGGTGATGGAAAGCGGGAGATGGGGCTGGGGTTATGGGAAGCGGAGAATGGGGCGGGGTGATGGAAGGAGGGAGAATGGGGCAGGGTGATGGAAAGAGGGAGAATGGGGCGGGGTGATGGAAAGCGGGAGAATGGGGCGGGGTGATGGAAAGCGGGAGAATTGGGCGGGGTGATGGAAAGCGGGAGAATGGGGCGGGGTGATGGAAGGAGGGAGAATGGGGCGGGGTGATGGAAGGAGGGAGAATGGGGCGGGGTGATGGAAAGTGGGAGAATGTGGCGGGGTGATGGAAAGCGGGAGATGGGGCTGGGGTTATGGGAAGCGGAGAATGGGGCGGGGTGATGGAAGGAGGGAGAATGGGGCGGGGTGATGGAAAGAGGGAGAATGGAGCGGGGTGATGGAAAGTGGGAGAATGGGGCGGGGTGATGGAAAGCGGGAGAATTGGGCGGGGTGATGGAAAGCGGGAGAACGGGGCGGGGTGATGGAAAGCAGGAGAATGGGGCGGGGTGATGGAAAGCAGGGGAATGGGGCGGGGTGATGGAAAGCGGGAGAATGGGGCGGGGTGATGGAAAGCGGGAGAATGGGGCGGGGTGATGGAAGGAGGGAGAATGAGGCGGGGTGATAGAAGGTGGGAGGATGGGGTGGGGTGATGGAAAGCGGGAGAATGGGGCGGGGTGATGGAAAGCGGGAGAATGGGGCGGGGTGATGGAAAGCAGGAGAATGGGGCGGGGTGATGAAAAACGGGAAAATGGGGTGGGGTGATGGTAAGCGGGAGAATGGGGCAGCGTGATGGAAGGAGAGAGAAGGGGGCAGGGTCATGGAAAGTGGGAGAATGTGGCGGGGTGATGGAAAGCGGGAGAATGGGGTGGGGTTTTGGGAAGCGGGAGAATGGGGCAGGGTGATGGAAAGCGGGAGAATGGGGCAGGGTGATGGGAGGAGGGAGAATTGGGCGGGGTGATGGAAGGAGGGAGAATGGGGCGGGGTGATGGAAAGCGGGAGAATGGGGCGGGGTGATGGAAGGAGGGAGAATGGGGCGGGGTGATGGAAAGCGGGAGAATGGGGCGGGGTGATGGAAAGTGGGAGAATGGGGCGGGGTGATGGAAAGCGGGAGAATGGAGCGGGGTGATGGAAGGCAGGAGAATGGGGCTGGGTGATGGAAAGCGGGTGAATGGGGCGGGGTGATGGAAAGCGTGAGAATGGGGCGAGGTGATGGAAAGCGGGAGAATGGGGCGAGGTGATGGAGAGCGGGAGAATGGGGCTGGGTGATGGAAGGAGGGAGAATGGGGAGAGGTGACGGAAAGGAGGGAAATGGGGCGGGATGATGGGAAGCGGGAGAATGGGGAGGGGTGATGGAAAGCGGGAGAATGGGGCGGGGTTATGGAAAGCGGGAGAATGGGGCGGGGAGACGGAAAGCGGGAGAATGGGGCGGGGTGATGGAAAGCGGGAGAATGGGGCGGGCTGATGGAAAGCGGGAGAATGGGGCGGGGTGATGGAAGGAGGGAGAATGGGGCAGGGTGATGGAAGGAGGGAGAAGGGGGCGGGGTGATGGAAACCGGGAGAATGGGGTGGGGTGATGGAAAGCGGGAGAATGGGGCGGGGTGATGGAAAGCGGGAGAATGGGGCGGGCTGATGGAAAGCGGGAGAATGGGGCGGGGTGATGGAAAGCGGGAGAAAAGGGCGGGGTGATGGAAAGCGGGAGAATGGGGCGAGGTGATGGAAAGCGGGAGAATGGGGCGGGGTGATGGAAGGAGGGAGAATGGGGCGGGGTGATGGAAATTGGGAGAATAGGGCAGGGTGATGGAAAGCGGGGGAATGGGGCGGGATGATAGAAAGCGGGAGAATGGGGCGGGGTGACGGAAAGAGGGAGAATGGGGCAGGGTGACGGAAATCGAGAGAATTGGGCGGGGTGATGGAAAGTGGGAGAATGGGTCGGGGTGATGGAAAGCGGGAGAATGGGGCGGGGTGATGGAAGGATGGAGAATGGGGCGGAGTGATGGAAAGCAGGAGAATGGGGTGGGGTGATAGAAAGTGGGAGAATGGGGCGGGGTGATGGAAAGAGGGAGAATGGGAAGGGGTGAAGGAAAGCGGGAGAATGGGGCGGAGTGATGGAAAGCGGGAGAATGGGTTGGGGTGATGGAAAGCGGGTGAATGGGGCGGGGTGATGGAAAGCGGGAGACTGGGGTGGGGTGATGGAAAGTGGGAGAATGGGGCGGGGTGATGGAAAGCGGGAGAATGGGGCGGGGTGATGGAAAGCGGGAGAATGGGGCGGGGTGATGGAAAGCGGGAGAAAAGGGCGGTGTGATGGAAAGCGGGAGAATGGGGCGAGGAGATGGAAAGCGGGAGAATGGGGTGGGGTGATCGAAGGAGGGAGAATGGGGCAGGGTGATGGAAAGCGGGAGAATGGGGCGAGATGATGGGAAGCGGGAAAATGGGGCGCGGTAATGGAAAGCGGGAGAATGGGGCGTGGTGATGGAAAGCGGGAGAATGGGCGTGTGATGGAAAGCGGGAGAATTGGGCGGGGTGATGGAAAGCGGGAGAACGGGGCGGGGTGATGGAAAGCAGGAGAATGGGGCGGGGTGATGGAAAGCAGGGAAATGGGGCGGGGTGATGGAAAGCGGGAGAATGGGGCGGGGTGATGGAAATCGGGAGAATGGGGCGGGGTGATGGAAGGAGGGAGAATGAGGCGGGGTGATGGAAAGCGGGAGATGGGGACGTGGACGTGGACGTGGACGTGGACGTGGACGTGGACTTGGACGTGGACGTGGACGTGGACGTGGACGTGGACGTGGACGTGGACGTGGACATGGACGTGGACTGGACGTGGACGTGGACGTGGACGTGGACGTGGACATGGACGTGGACGTGGACGTGGACGTGGACGTGGACGTGGACGTGGACGTGGACGTGGACGTGGAGATGGACGTGCATGGACGTGGAGATGGACGTGGACGTGGACGTGGACGTGGACGTGGAGGTGGACGTGGACGTGGACGTGGACGTGGAGGTGGAGGTGGACGTGGAGGTGGACGTGGAGGTGGACGTGGACGTGGACGTGGACGTGGACGTGGACCTGGACGTGGACGTGGACGTGGACGTGGACGTGGACGTGGACGTGGAGATGGACGTGGAAGTGGACGTGGACGTGGACGTGGACGTGGAGGTGGACGTGGACGTGGAGGTGGACGTGGACATGGAGGTGGACGTGGACGTGGAGGTGGACGTGGAGGTGGACGTGGACGTGGAGGTGGACGTGGACGTGGACGTGGACGTGGACGTGGTCGTGGACATGGTCGTGGACGTGGACGTGGACGTGGACGTGGACATGGACGTGGACGTGGACGTGGACATGGACGTGGACGTGGACGTGGACGTGGACGTGGACGTGGACAGGGACGTGGACAGGGACGTGGACGTGGACGTGGACATGGACGTGGACGTGGACAGGGACGTGGACAGGGACGTGGACGTGGACGTGGACGTGGACGTAGACGTGGACGTGGACGTGGACGTGGACATGGACGTGGACATGGACGTGGACGAGGACGTGGACGTGGACGTGGACATGGTCGTGGACGTGGACGTGGACGTGGACATGGACGTGGACGTGGACGTGGACGTGGACGTGGACGTGGACGTGGACTTGGACATGGACGTGGACGTGGACGTGAACGTGGACGTGGACATGGGCGTGGACGTGACGTGGACGTGGACGTGGACGTGGACGTGGACGTGGACGTGGACGTGGACGTGGACAAGGACGTGGACATGGACATGGACGTGGACATGGACGTGGACATGGACGTGGACGTGGACGTGGACGTGGACGTGGACCTGGACGTGGACGTGGACGTGGACGTGGACGTGGACGTGGACGTGGACGTGGACGTGGACGCGTGGACGTGGACGTGGTCGTGGACGTGGACGTGGACGTGGACATGGACGTGGACGTGGACGTGGACGTGGACATGGACGTGGACCTGGACGTGGACGTGGACGTGGACGTGGACATGGACGTGGACGTGGACATGGACATGGACGTGGACGTGGACGTGGACGTGGATATGGACATGGACGTGGACGTGGACGTGGACGTGGACGTGGACGTGGACGAGGACGTGGACGTGGACGTGGACGTTGACGTGGACATCGACGTGACGTGGACGTGGACATGGACGTGGACGTGGGCGTGGACGTGGGCGTGGACGTGGACGTGGACGTGGACATGGGCGTGGACGTGGACGTGGACGTGACGTGGACATGGACATGGACGTGGACGTAGACGTGGACATGGTCGTGGACGTGGACGTGGACGTTGACGTGGACGTGGACGTGGATGTGGACGTGGACATAGACGTGGACGTGGACGTGGACGTTGACGTGGACGTGGACGTGGACGTGGATGTGGACGTGGACGTGGACGTGGACATGGACATGGACGTGGACGTGGATGTGGACGTGGACATGGACGTAGACGTGGACGTGGACGTGGACATGGTCGTGGACGTAGACGTGGACGTGGACGTAGACGTGGACGTGGACGTGGACGTGGACAAGGACGTGGACATGGACATGGACGTGGACATGGACGTGGACATGGACGTGGACGTGGACGTGGACGTGGACGTGGACCTGGACGTGGACGTGGACGTGGACGTGGACGTGGACGTGGACGTGGACGTGGACGCGTGGACGTGGACGTGGTCGTGGACGTGGACGTGGACGTGGACATGGACGTGGACGTGGACGTGGACGTGGACATGGACGTGGACCTGGACGTGGACGTGGACGTGGACGTGGACATGGACGTGGACGTGGACATGGACATGGACGTGGACGTGGACGTGGACGTGGATATGGACATGGACGTGGACGTGGACGTGGACGTGGACGTGGACGAGGACGTGGACGTGGACGTGGACGTTGACGTGGACATGGACGTGACGTGGACGTGGACATGGACGTGGACGTGGGCGTGGACGTGGGCGTGGACGTGGACGTGGACGTGGACATGGGCGTGGACGTGGACGTGGACGTGACGTGGACATGGACATGGACGTGGACGTAGACGTGGACATGGTCGTGGACGTGGACGTGGACGTTGACGTGGACGTGGACGTGGACGTGGACGTGGACATAGACGTGGACGTGGACGTGGACGTTGACGTGGACGTGGACGTGGACGTGGATGTGGACGTGGACGTGGACGTGGACATGGACATGGACGTGGACGTGGATGTGGACGTGGACATGGACGTAGACGTGGACGTGGACGTGGACATGGTCGTGGACGTGGACGTGGACGTGGACGTAGACGTGGACGTGGACGTGGACGTGGACATGGACGTGGACGTGGACGTGGACGTGGACGTGGACGTGGACATGGACCTGGACGTGGACGTGGACGTGGACCTGGACGTGGACGTGGACCTGGACGTGGGCGTGGACGTGGACGTGGACGTGGAGGTGGACGTGGACGTGGAGGTGGACGTGGACGTGGACGTGGACATGGACGTGGAGGTGGACGTGGACGTGGACATGGACGTGGACGTGGACGTGGACGTGGACGTGCACATGGACGTGGACGTGGACGTGGACGTGGACATGGACATGGACGTGGACGTGGACGTGGACATGGACGTGGACGTGGACGTGGACATGGACGTGGACGTGGACGTGGACATGGACGTGGACGTGGACAGGGACGTGGACGTGGACGTGGACATGGACGTGGACGTGGACGTGGACGTGGACGTGGACATGGACGTGGACGTGGACGTGGACATGGACGTGGACGTGGACGTGGACATGGACGAGGACATGGACGTGGACGTGGACGTGGACGTGGGCCTTGACGTGGACGTGGACGTGGACGTGGACGTGGGCGTGGACGTGGGCGTGGACGTGGACATGGACGTGGACGTGGACGTAGACGTGGACATGGTCGTGGACGTGGACGTGGACGTGGACGTGGACATGGACGTGGACGTGGACGTGGACATGGACGTGGACATGGACGTCGACATGGACGTGGACGTGGACGCGTGGACATGGACGTGGACGTCGACGTGGACGTGGACGTGGACGTCGACGTGGACATGGACATGGACGTGGACATGGACGTGGACATGGACGTGGACGTGGACGTGGACGTGGACGTGGACGTGGACATGGACGTGGACGTGGACGTGGACGTGGACATGGACGTGGACGTGGTCGTGGACGTGGACGTGGACGTGGACGTGGACGTGGACGTGGACGTGGACGTGGACGAGGACGAGGACGTGGACGTGGACGTGGACGTGGACGTGGACGTGGACGTGACGTGGACGTGGACATGGACGTGGACGTGGGCGTGGACGTGGGCGTGGACGTGGACGTGGACGTGGACATGGGCGTGGGCGTGGACGTGGACATGGACGTGGACGTGGACGTAGACGTGGACATGGTCGTGGACGTGGACGTGGACGTGGACATGGACGTGGACATGGACGTGGACGTGGACGTGGACGTGGACGTGGACGTGGACCTGGACGTGGACGTGGACGTGGACGTGGACGTGGACGTGGACGTGGACGGGGACGTGGACGTGGACGTGGACGTGGACGTGGACGTGGTCGTGGACGTGGACGTGGACGTGGACGTGGACGGGGACGTGGACGTGGACGTGAACGTGGACGTGGACGTGGACGTGGACGTGGACGGGGACGTGGTCGTGGACGTGGACGTGGACGTGGAGGTAGACGTGGACGTGGACGTGGACGGGGACGTGGACGTGGACGTGGACGTGGACGGGGACGTGGACGTGGACGTGGACGTGGACGTGGACGTGGACGTGGACGTGGGACGTGGACGTGGACGTGGACTTGGACATGGACGTGGACGTGGACGTGGACGTGGACGTGGACGTGGACGTGGACATGGACGTGGACGTGGACGTGGACATGGACGTGGACGTGGACATGGACGTGGACGAGGACGTGGACGTGGACGTGGACGTGGACGTGGACGTGGACGTGGACGTGGACATGGACATGGACGTGGACGTGGACGTGGACGTGGACATGGACGAGGACATGGACGTGGACATGGACGTGGACGTGGACGTGGACGTGGACATGGACATGGACGTGGACGTGGACGTTGACATGGACGTGGACATGGACGTCGACATGGACGTAGACGTGGACGTGGACGTGGACGTGGACAAGGACGTGGACGTGGACATGGACGTGGACATGGACGTGGACGTGGACGTGGACATGGACATGGACGTGGACGTGGACGTGGACGTGGACGTGGACATGGACGTGGACGTGGACATGGACGTGGACGTGTGGACGTGGACGTGGACGTGGACATGGACGTGGACGTGGACGTGGACGTAGACATGGACGTGGACGTGGACGTGGACGTGGACGTGGACATGGACGTGGACCTGGACGTGGACGTGGACGTGGACGTGGACGTAGACAAGGACGTGGCCGTGGACATGGACGTGGACATGGACGTGGACATGGACGTGGACGTGGACGTGGACGTGGACGTGGACGTGGACGTGGACGTGGACGTGGACGTGGACCTGGACGTGGACGTGGACGTGGACGTGGACATGGACGTGGACCTGGACGTGGAGGTGGACGTGGACGTGGACGTGGAGGTGAACGTGGACGTGGACGTGGACTTGGACGTGGACATGGACGTGGACGTGGACGTGGATGTGGACGTGGACGTGGACGTGGACATGGACGTGGACGTGGACGTGGACATGGACGTGGACGTGGACATGGACGTGGACGAGGACGTGGACGTGGACGTGGACGTGGACGTGGACGTGGACTTGGACGTGGACATGGACGTGGACGTGGACGTGGACGTGGACGTGGACGTGGACATGGACAGGGACGTGGACGTGGACGTGGACGTGGACATGGACGTAGACGTGGACGTGGACGTGGAGGTGGACGTGGACGTGGACGTGGACATGGTCGTGGACGTGGACCTGGACGAGGACGTGGACGTGGACGTGAACGTGGACATGGACGTGGACGTGGACGTGGACGTGGACGTGGACATGGACGTGGACGTGGACGTGGACATGGACGTGGACATGGACGTCGACATGGACGTGGACGTGGACGTGGACGTGGACGTGGACATGGACATGGACGTGGACATGGACGTCGACATGGACGTGGACGTGGACGTGGACGTGGACATGGACGTGGACGTGGACATGGACGTGGACATGGACGTGGACATGGACGTGGACTTGGACGTGGACGTGGACGTGGACGTGGACGTGGACGTGGACGTGGACATGGACGTGGATGTGGACATGGACGTGGACGTGGACGTGGACGTGGACATGGTCGTGGACGTGGACGTGGACGTGGACGTGGACATGGTCGTGGACGTGGACGTGGACGTGGACGTGGACGTGGACGTGGACGTGGACATGGACGTTGACGTGGACGTAGACATGGACGTGGACGTGGACGTGGACGTGGACGTGGACGTGGACGAGGGACGTGGACGTGGACGTGGACGTGACGTGGACGTGGGCGTGGACGTGGGCGTGGACGTGGGCGTGGGCGTGGACATGGGCGTGGACATGGGCGTGGGCGTGGACGTGGACGTGGACGTGGACGTGGACGTAGACGTGGACGTGGACGTGGACGTGTACGTGGACGTGGACGTGGACCTGGACGTGGACCTAGACGTGGACGTGGACGTGGACGTGGTCGTGGACGTGGTCGTGGACGTGGACGTGGACGGGGACGTGGACGTGGACGTGGACGTGGTCGTGGACGTGGACGTGGACGTGGACGTGGACGTGGACGTGGACGTGGACGTGGTCGTGGACGTGGTCGTGGACGTGGTCGTGGTCGTGGTCGTGGACGTGGACGTGGACGTGGACGTGGACGTGGACGTGGACGTGGACCTGGACCTGGACCTGGACGTGGACGTGGACGTGGACGTGGACGTGGACGTGGTCGTGGACGTGGACGTGGACATGGACGTGGACGTGGCCGTGGACGTGGACGTCGACGTGGACGTGGACGTGGACGTGGGCGTGGACGTGGACGTGGACGTGGACGTGGACGTGGACATGGTCGTGGACGTGGACGTGGACGTGGACGTGGACATGGACGTTGACGTGGACGTAGACATGGACGTGGACGTGGACGTGGACGTGGACGTGGACGTGGACGAGGGACGTGGACGTGGACGTGGACGTGACGTGGACGTGGGCGTGGACGTGGGCGTGGACGTGGGCGTGGGCGTGGACATGGGCGTGGACATGGGCGTGGGCGTGGACGTGGACGTGGACGTGGACGTAGACGTGGACGTGGATGTGGACGTGGACGTGAACGTGGACCTGGACGTGGACCTGGACGTGGACGTGGACGTGGACGTGGTCGTGGACGTGGTCGTGGACGTGGACGTGGACGGGGACGTGGACGTGGACGTGGACGTGGACGTGGACGTGGTCGTGGACGTGGACGTGGACGTGGACGTGGACGTGGACGTGGACGTGGACGTGGTCGTGGACGTGGTCGTGGACGTGGTCGTGGTCGTGGTCGTGGACGTGGACGTGGACGTGGACGTGGACGTGGACGTGGACCTGGACCTGGACGTGGACGTGGACGTGGACGTGGACGTGGACGTGGACGTGGTCGTGGACGTGGACGTGGACGTGGACGTGGACGTGGCCGTGGACGTGGACGTCGACGTGGACGTGGACGTGGACGTGGGCGTGGACGTGGATGTGGACGTGGACGTGGTCGTGGACGTGGACGTGGTCGTGGTCGTGGACGTGGACGTGGACGTGGACGTGGACGTGGTCGTGGACGTGGACGTGGACGTGGACGTGGACGTGGACGTGGACGTGGAGATGGACGTGGACGTGGACGTGGACGTGGACGTGGACGTGGTCGTGGACGTGGATGTGGACGTGGACGTGGACGTGGACGTGGACGTGGACGTGGACGTGGACGTGGACGTGGACGTGGTCGTGGACGTGGACGTGGACGTGGTCGTGGACGTGGTCGTGGACGTGGACGTGGACGTGGTCGTGGACGTGGACGTGGACGTGGACGTGGACGTGGACATGGACGTGGACGTGGACGTGGACAGGGACGTGGACGTGGACGTGGACGTGGACGTGGACCTGGTCGTGGACGTGGACAGGGACGTGGACCTGGACGTGGACGTGGACGTGGACGTGGACGTGGACGTGGACGTGGACATGGACGTGGACGTGGACGTGGACGTGGACATGGACGTGGACGTGGACATGGACAGGGACGTGGAGGTGGACGTGGACGTGGACGTAGACGTGGACGTGGACGTGGACATGGACGTGGACGTGGACGTGGACGTGGAGGTGGACATGGACGTGGACGTGGACGTGGACGTGGACGTGGACGTGGACGTAGACGTGGACGTGGACGTGGACGTGTACGTGGACGTGGACGTGGACCTGGACGTGGACCTAGACGTGGACGTGGACGTGGACGTGGTCGTGGACGTGGTCGTGGACGTGGACGTGGACGGGGACGTGGACGTGGACGTGGACGTGGTCGTGGACGTGGACGTGGACGTGGACGTGGACGTGGACGTGGACGTGGACGTGGACGTGGTCGTGGACGTGGTCGTGGACGTGGTCGTGGTCGTGGTCGTGGACGTGGACGTGGACGTGGACGTGGACGTGGACGTGGACGTGGACCTGGACCTGGACCTGGACGTGGACGTGGACGTGGACGTGGACGTGGACGTGGTCGTGGACGTGGACGTGGACATGGACGTGGACGTGGCCGTGGACGTGGACGTCGACGTGGACGTGGACGTGGACGTGGGCGTGGACGTGGACGTGGACGTGGACGTGGACGTGGACATGGTCGTGGACGTGGACGTGGACGTGGACGTGGACATGGACGTTGACGTGGACGTAGACATGGACGTGGACGTGGACGTGGACGTGGACGTGGACGTGGACGTGGACGAGGGACGTGGACGTGGACGTGGACGTGACGTGGACGTGGGCGTGGACGTGGGCGTGGACGTGGGCGTGGGCGTGGACATGGGCGTGGACATGGGCGTGGGCGTGGACGTGGACGTGGACGTGGACGTAGACGTGGACGTGGACGTGGACGTGGACGTGAACGTGGACCTGGACGTGGACCTGGACGTGGACGTGGACGTGGACGTGGTCGTGGACGTGGTCGTGGACGTGGACGTGGACGGGGACGTGGACGTGGACGTGGACGTGGACGTGGACGTGGTCGTGGACGTGGACGTGGACGTGGACGTGGACGTGGACGTGGACGTGGTCGTGGACGTGGTCGTGGACGTGGTCGTGGTCGTGGTCGTGGACGTGGACGTGGACGTGGACGTGGACGTGGACGTGGACCTGGACCTGGACGTGGACGTGGACGTGGACGTGGACGTGGACGTGGACGTGGTTGTGGACGTGGACGTGGACGTGGACGTGGACGTGGCCGTGGACGTGGACGTCGACGTGGACGTGGACGTGGACGTGGGCGTGGACGTGGATGTGGACGTGGACGTGGTCGTGGACGTGGACGTGGTCGTGGTCGTGGACGTGGACGTGGACGTGGACGTGGACGTGGTCGTGGACGTGGACGTGGACGTGGACGTGGACGTGGACGTGGACGTGGAGATGGACGTGGACGTGGACGTGGACGTGGACGTGGACGTGGTCGTGGACGTGGATGTGGACGTGGACGTGGACGTGGACGTGGACGTGGACGTGGACGTGGACGTGGACGTGGACGTGGTCGTGGACGTGGACGTGGTCGTGGACGTGGTCGTGGACGTGGACGTGGACGTGGTCGTGGACGTGGACGTGGACGTGGACGTGGACGTGGACATGGACGTGGACGTGGACGTGGACAGGGACGTGGACGTGGACGTGGACGTGGACGTGGACCTGGTCGTGGACGTGGACAGGGACGTGGACCTGGACGTGGACGTGGACGTGGACGTGGACGTGGACGTGGACGTGGACATGGACGTGGACGTGGACGTGGACGTGGACATGGACGTGGACGTGGACATGGACAGGGACGTGGAGGTGGACGTGGACGTGGACGTAGACGTGGACGTGGACGTGGACATGGACGTGGACGTGGACGTGGACGTGGAGGTGGACATGGACGTGGACGTGGACGTGGACATAGACGTGGACGTGGACGTGGACGTGGACGTGGACGTGGACTTGGACGTGGACATGGACGTGGACGTGGACATGGACGTGGACGTGGACAGGGACGTGGACGTGGACATGGACGTGGAGGACTTGGACGTGGACGTGGACAGGAACGTGGACGTGGACATGGACGTGGTGAACGTGGACGTGGACGTGGACGTCGACGTGGACGTGGACGTGGACGTGGACATGGACGTGGACGTGGACGTGGACAGGGACGTGGACGTGGACGTGGACGTGGACGTGGACCTGGTCGTGGACGTCGACAGGGACGTGGACCTGGACGTGGACGTGGACGTGGACGTGGACATGGACGTGGACATGGACGTGGACGTGGACGTGGACGTGGACGTGGACATGGACGTGGACGTGGACATGGACAGGGACGTGGAGGTGGACGTGGACGTGGACGTAGACGTGGACGTGGACGTGGACATGGACGTGGACGTGGACGTGGACGTGGAGGTGGACATGGACGTGGACGTGGACGTGGACATGGACGTGGACGTGGACGTGGACGTGGACGTGGACTTAGACGTGGACATGGACGTGGACGTGGACATGGACGTGGACGTGGACAGGGACGTGGACGTGGACATGGACGTGGAGGACATGGACGTGGACGTGGACAGGAACGTGGACGTGGACATGGACGTGGTGGACGTGGACGTGGACGTCGACGTGGACGTGGACGTGGACGTGGACGTGGACATGGACGTGGACGTACGTGGACGTGGACGTGGACGTGGACGTGGACATGGACGTGGACATGGACGTGGAGGACTTGGACGTGGACGTGGACGTGGACGTGGACGTGGACGTGGACTTGGTCATGCACGTGGACGTGGACGTGGACGTGGACGTGGACATGGACGTGAACGTACGTGGACGTGGACGTGGACGTGGACATGGACGTGGACGTGGACGTGGACGTGGAGATGGACGTGGACGTGGACGTGGACGTGGACGTGGACGTGGCCGTGGACGTGGACGTGGACGTGGACGTGGACGTGGACGTGGACGTGGACTTGGACGTGGACGTGGACGTGGACGTGGACGTGGACGTGGACGTGGACGTGGACGTGGTCGTGGACGTGGACGTGGACGTGGACGTGGACGTGGACGGGGACGTGGACGTGGACGTGGACGTGGACGTGGACGTGGACGTGGTCGTGGACGTGGACGTGGTCGTGGTCGTGGACGTGGACGTGGACGTGGACGTGGACGTGGACGTGGACGTGGTCGTGGACGTGGACGTGGTCGTGGACGTGGTCGTGGACGTGGACGTGGACGTGGTCGTGGACGTGGACGTGGACATGGACGTGGACGTGGACAGGGACGTGGACGTGGACGTGGACAGGGACAGGGACGTGGACGTGGACGTGGACGTGGACGTGGACGCGGACCTGGTCGTGGACGTGGACAGGAACGTGCACGTGGACGTTGACGTGGACGTGGACGTGGACGTGGACGTGGACGTGGACATGGACGTGGACGTGGACGTGGACGTGGACGTGGACGTGGACGTGGACGTGGTCGTGGACGTGGACGTGGACTTGGACGTGGAAGTGGACGTGGACGTGGACGTGGACGTGGACGTGGACGTGGACGTGGTCGTGGACGTGGACGTGGTCGTGGACGTGGTCGTGGACGTGGACGTGGACGTGGACGTGGTCGTGGACGTGGTCGTGGTCGTGGTCGTGGACGTGGACGTGGACGTGGACGTGGACGTGGACGTGGACGTGGACGTGGACGGGGACGTGGACGTGGACGTGGACGTGGACGTGGACGTGGACGTGGTCGTGGACGTGGACGTGGACGTGGACGTGGACGTGGACGTGGTCGTGGACGTGGACGTGGACGTAGACGTGGACGTGGACGTGGACGTGGACGTGGACGTGGTCGTGGACGTGGACGTGGTCGTGGTCGTGGACGTGGACGTGGACGTGGACGTGGACGTAGACGTGGTCGTGGACGTGGACGTGGACGTGGACGTGGACGTGGTCGTGGACGTGGACGTGGACGTGGACGTGGACGTGGACGTGGACGTGGTCGTGGACGTGGTCGTGGACGTGGTCGTGGTCGTGGGTCGTGGACGTGGACGTGGACGTGGACGTGGACGTGGACGTGGACCTGGACCTGGACGTGGACGTGGACGTGGACGTGGACGTGGACGTGGACGTGGTCGTGGACGTGGACGTGGACGTGGACGTGGCCGTGGACGTGGACGTCGACGTGGACGTGGACGTGGACGTGGGCGTGGACGTCGACGTGGACGTGGACGTGGTCGTGGACGTGGACGTGGTCGTGGTCGTGGACGTGGACGTGGACGTGGACGTGGACGTGGTCGTGGACGTGGACGTGGACGTGGACGTGGACGTGGACGTGGACGTGGACGTGGACGTGGAGATGGACGTGGACGTGGACGTGGACGTGGACGTGGTCGTGGACGTGGACGTGGACGTGGACGTGGACGTGGACGTGGACGTGGACGTGGTCGTGGACGTGGACGTGGACGTGGTCGTGGACGTGGTCGTGGACGTGGACGTGGACGTGGACGTGGACGTGGACGTGGAGATGGACGTGGAGATGGACGTGGACGTGGACGTGGACGTGGTCGTGGACGTGGACGTGGACGTGGACGTGGTCGTGGACGTGGACGTGGACGTGGTCGTGGACGTGGTCGTGGACGTGGACGTGGACGTGGACGTGGACTTGGACGTGGACATGGACGTGGACGTGGACATGGACGTGGACATGGACAGGGACGTGGACGTGGACATGGACGTGGAGGACTTGGACGTGGACGTGGACAGGAACGTGGACGTGGACATGGACGTGGTGAACGTGGACGTGGACGTGGACGTCGACGTGGACGTGGACGTGGACGTGGACATGGACGTGGACGTGGACGTGGACAGGGACGTGGACGTGGACGTGGACGTGGACGTGGACCTGGTCGTGGACAGGGACGTGGACCTGGACGTGGACGTGGACGTGGACGTGGACGTGGACGTGGACATGGACGTGGACGTGGACGTGGACGTGGACGTGGACATGGACGTGGACGTGGACATGGACAGGGACGTGGAGGTGGACGTGGACGTGGACGTAGACGTGGACGTGGACGTGGACATGGACGTGGACGTGGACGTGGACGTGGACGTGGACGTGGAGGTGGACATGGACGTGGACGTGGACGTGGACATGGACGTGGACGTGGACGTGGACGTGGACGTGGACTTAGATGTGGACATGGACGTGGACGTGGACATGGACGTGGACGTGGACAGGGACGTGGACGTGGACATAGACGTGGAGGACTTGGACGTGGACGTGGACAGGAACGTGGACGTGGACATGGACGTGGTGGACGTGGACGTGGACGTGGACGTCGACGTGGACGTGGACGTGGACGTGGACGTGGACATGGACGTGGACGTACGTGGACGTGGACGTGGACGTGGACGTGGACATGGACGTGGACATGGACGTGGAGGACTTGGACGTGGACGTGGACGTGGACGTGGACGTGGACGTGGACGTGGACTTGGTCATGCACGTGGACGTGGACGTGGACGTGGACGTGGACATGGACGTGGACGTACGTGGACGTGGACGTGGACGTGGACATGGACGTGGACGTGGACGTGGACGTGGACGTGGACGTGGACGTGGACTTGGACGTGGACGTGGACGTGGACGTGGACGTGGACGTGGTCGTGGACGTGGACGTGGTCGTGGACGTGGACGTGGACGTGGACTTGGACGTGGACGTGGACGTGGACGTGGACGTGGACGTGGACGTGGACGTGGACGTGGACGTGGACGTGGTCGTGGACGTGGTCGTGGACGTGGACGTGGACGGGGACGTGGACGTGGACGTGGACGTGGACGTGGACGTGGTCGTGGACGTGGACGTGGTCGTGGACGTGGACGTGGACGTGGACGTGGACGTGGTCGTGGACGTGGACGTGGACGTGGACGTGGACGTGGACGTGGACGTGGACGTGGACGTGGACGTGGTCGTGGACGTGGACGTGGACGTGGACGTGGACGGGGACGTGGACGTGGACGTGGGACGTGGACGTGGACGTGGACGTGGTCGTGGACGTGGACGTGGTCGTGGTCGTGGACGTGGACGGGGACGTGGACGTGGCCGTGGACGTGGACGTGGACGTGGACGTGGACGTGGACGTGGACTTGGACGTGGACGTGGACGTGGACGTGGACGTGGACGTGGACGTGGACGTGGACGTGGTCGTGGACGTGGACGTGGACGTGGACGTGGACGTGGACGGGGACGTGGACGTGGACGTGGACGTGGACGTGGACGTGGACGTGGTCGTGGACGTGGACGTGGTCGTGGTCGTGGACGTGGACGTGGACGTGGACGTGGACGTGGACGTGGACGTGGACGTGGACGTGGACGTGGTCGTGGACGTGGACGTGGTCGTGGACGTGGTCGTGGACGTGGACGTGGACGTGGTCGTGGACGTGGACGTGGACGTGGACGTGGACGTGGACAGGGACGTGGACGTGGACGTGGACAGGGACAGGGACGTGGACGTGGACGTGGACGTGGACGTGGACGTGGACGCGGACCTGGTCGTGGACGTGGACAGGAACGTGGACGTGGACGTTGACGTGGACGTGGACGTGGACGTGGACGTGGACGTGGACGTGGACGTGGACATGGACGTGGACGTGGACGTGGACGTGGACGTGGACGTGGACGTGGTCGTGGACGTGGACGTGGACTTGGACGTGGAAGTGGACGTGGACGTGGACGTGGACGTGGACGTGGACGTGGACGTGGTCGTGGACGTGGTCGTGGACGTGGTCGTGGACGTGGACGTGGACGTGGACGTGGTCGTGGACGTGGTCGTGGTCGTGGACGTGGACGTGGACGTGGACGTGGACGTGGACGTGGACGTGGACGTGGACGTGGACGTGGACGTGGACGGGGACGTGGACGTGGACGTGGACGTGGACGTGGACGTGGACGTGGTCGTGGACGTGGACGTGGACGTGGACGTGGACGTGGACGTGGTCGTGGACGTGGACGTGGACGTAGACGTGGACGTGGACGTGGACATGGACGTGGACGTGGTCGTGGACGTGGACGTGGTCGTGGTCGTGGACGTGGACGTGGACGTGGACGTGGACGTGGACGTGGTCGTGGACGTGGACGTGGACGTGGACGTGGACGTGGACGTGGACGTGGACGTGGACGTGGTCGTGGACGTGGACGTGGACGTGGACGTGGACGTGGACGTGGACGTGGACGTGGTCGTGGACGTGGTCGTGGACGTGGTCGTGGTCGTGGTCGTGGACGTGGACGTGGACGTGGACGTGGACGTGGACCTGGACCTGGACCTGGACGTGGACGTGGACGTGGACGTGGACGTGGACGTGGTCGTGGACGTGGACGTGGACGTGGACGTGGCCGTGGACGTGGACGTCGACGTGGACGTGGACGTGGGCGTGGACGTGGACGTGGACGTGGACGTGGTCGTGGACGTGGACGTGGTCGTGGTCGTGGACGTGGACGTGGACGTGGACGTGGACGTGGACGTGGTCGTGGACGTGGACGTGGACGTGGACGTGGACGTGGACGTGGACGTGGACGTGGAGATGGACGTGGAGATGGACGTGGACGTGGACGTGGACGTGGTCGTGGACGTGGACGTGGACGTGGACGTGGACGTGGACATGGACGTGGACGTGGACGTGGTCGTGGACGTGGACGTGGACGTGGTCGTGGACGTGGTCGTGGACGTGGACGTGGACGTGGTCGTGGACGTGGACGTGGACGTGGACGTGGACGTGGACATGGACGTGGACGTGGACGTGGACAGGGACGTGGACGTGGACGTGGACGTGGACCTGGTCGTGGACGTGGACAGGGACGTGGACCTGGACGTGGACGTGGACGTGGACGTGGACGTGGACATGGACGTGGACGTGGACGTGGACGTGGACGTGGACATGGACGTGGACGTGGACATGGACAGGGACGTGGAGGTGGACGTGGACGTGGACGTGGACGTGGACGTGGACGTGGACATGGACGTGGACGTGGACGTGGACGTGGACGTGGACGTGGAGGTGGACATGGACGTGGACGTGGACGTGGACATGGACGTGGACGTGGACGTGGACGTGGACGTGGACTTGGACGTGGACATGGACGTGGACGTGGACATGGACGTGGACGTGGACAGGGACGTGGACGTGGACAAAGACGTGGAGGACTTGGACGTGGACGTGGACAGGAACGTGGACGTGGACATGGACGTGGTGAACGTGGACGTGGACGTGGACGTCGACGTGGACGTGGACGTGGACGTGGACATGGACGTGGACGTGGACGTGGACAGGGACGTGGACGTGGACGTGGACGTGGACGTGGACCTGGTCGTGGACGTGGACAGGGACGTGGACCTGGACGTGGACGTGGACGTGGACGTGGACATGGACGTGGACGTGGACGTGGACGTGGACGTGGACATGGACGTGGACGTGGACATGGACAGGGACGTGGAGGTGGACGTGGACGTGGACGTAGACGTGGACGTGGACGTGGACATGGACGTGGACGTGGACGTGGACGTGGAGGTGGACATGGACGTGGACGTGGACGTGGACATGGACGTGGACGTGGACGTGGACGTGGACGTGGACTTAGACGTGGACATGGACGTGGACGTGGACATGGACGTGGACGTGGACAGGGACGTGGACGTGGACATGGACGTGGAGGACTTGGACGTGGACGTGGACAGGAACGTGGACGTGGACATGGACGTGGTGGACGTGGACGTGGACGTGGACGTCGACGTGGACGTGGACGTGGACGTGGACATGGACGTGGACGTACGTGGACGTGGACGTGGACGTGGACGTGGACATGGACGTGGACATGGACGTGGAGGACTTGGACGTGGACGTGGACGTGGACGTGGACGTGGACTTGGTCATGCACGTGGACGTGGACGTGGACGTGGACGTGGACATGGACGTGGACGTACGTGGACGTGGACGTGGACGTGGACATGGACGTGGACGTGGACGTGGACGTGGAGATGGACGTGGACGTGGACGTGGACGTGGACGTGGACGTGGCCGTGGACGTGGACGTGGACGTGGACGTGGACGTGGACGTGGACTTGGACGTTGACGTGGACGTGGACGTGGACGTGGACGTGGACGTGGACGTGGACGTGGTCGTGGACGTGGACGTGGACGTGGACGTGGACGTGGACGTGGACGGGGACGTGGACGTGGACGTGGACGTGGACGTGGACGTGGACGTGGTCGTGGACGTGGACGTGGTCGTGGTCGTGGACGTGGACAAAGACGTGGACGTGGACGTGGACGTGGACGTGGACGTGGTCGTGGACGTGGACGTGGTCGTGGACGTGGTCGTGGACGTGGACGTGGTCGTGGACGTGGACGTGGACGTGGACGTGGACGTGGACAGGGACGTGGACGTGGACGTGGACAGGGACAGGGACGTGGACGTGGACGTGGACGTGGACGTGGACGCGGACCTGGTCGTGGACGTGGACAGGAACGTGGACGTGGACGTTGACGTGGACGTGGACGTGGACGTGGACGTGGACGTGGACATGGACGTGGACGTGGACGTGGACGTGGACGTGGACGTGGACGTGGACGTGGACGTGGACGTGGTCGTGGACGTGGACGTGGACTTGGACGTGGAAGTGGACGTTGACGTGGACGTGGACGTGGACGTGGACGTGGACGTGGTCGTGGACGTGGACGTGGTCGTGGACGTGGTCCTGGACGTGGACGTGGACGTGGACGTGGTCGTGGACGTGGTCGTGGTCGTGGTCGTGGACGTGGACGTGGACGTGGACGTGGACGTGGACGTGGACGTGGACGTGGACGGGGACGTGGACGAGGACGTGGACGTGGACGTGGACGTGGACGTGGTCGTGGACGTGGACGTGGACGTGGACGTGGACGTGGACGTGGTCGTGGACGTGGACGTGGACGTAGACGTGGACGTGGCGTGGACGTGGACGTGGTCGTGGACGTGGACGTTGGACGTGGACCGTGGACGTGGTCGTGGACGTGGACGTGGACGTGGACGTGGACGTGGACGTGGACGTGGACGTTGACGTGGACGTGGACGTGGACGTGGACGTGGTCGTGGACGTGGACGTGGACGTGGTCGTGGACGTGGTCGTGGACGTGGACGTGGACATGGACGTGGACGTGGACGTGGACGTGGACGTGGACGTGGACATGGACGTGGACGTGGACATGGACAGGGACGTGGAGGTGGACGTGGACGTGGACGTAGACGTGGACGTGGACGTGGACATGGACGTGGACGTGGACGTGGACGTGGACGTGGAGGTGGAGGTGGACATGGACGTGGACGTGGACGTGGACATGGACGTGGACGTGGACGTGGACGTGGACTTGGACGTGGACATGGACGTGGACGTGGACATGGACATGGACGTGGACAGGGACGTGGACGTGGACATGGATGTGGAGGACTTGGACGTGGACGTGGACAGGGACGTGGACGTGGACATGGACGTGGTGGACGTGGACGTGGACGTGGACGTCGACGTACGTGGACGTGGACGTGGACGTGGAGATGGACGTGGACGTGGACGTGGACGTGGACGTGGACGTGGACGTGGACGTGGTCGTGGTCGTGGACGTGGACGTGGTCGTGGACGTGGTCGTGGTCGTGGACGTGGACGTGGTCGTGGACGTGGACGTGGACGTGGACGTGGACGTGGACATGGACGTGGACGTGGACGTGGACAGGGACGTGGACGTGGACGTGGACGTGGACGTGGACATGGACGCGGACGTGGACGTGGACCTGGTCGTAGACGTGGACAGGGACGTGGACCTGGACGTGGACGTGGACGTGGACGTGGACGTGGACGTGGACGTGGACATGGACGTGGACGTGGACGTGGACATGGACGTGGACGTGGACGTGGACGTGGACGTGGACATGGACGTGGACGTGGACATGGACAGGGACGTGGAGGTGGACGTGGACGTGGACGTAGACGTGGACGTGGAGGTGGACATGGACGAGGACGTGGACGTGGACGTGGACGTGGACGTGGACGTGGACGTGGACATGGACGTGGACGTGGACGTGGACGTGGACGTGGACGTGGACTTGGACGTGGACATGGACGTGGACGTGGACATGGACATGGACGTGGACAGGGACGTGGACGTGGACATGGACGTGGAGGACTTGGACGTGGACGTGGACAGGGACGTGGACGTGGACATGGACGTGGTGGACGTGGACGTGGACGTGGACGTGGACGTGGACGTGGACGTGGACATGGACGTGGACGTACGTGGACGTGGACGTGGACGTGGACGTGGACATGGACGTGGACATGGACGTGGAGGACTTGGACGTGGACGTGGACGTGGACGTGGACGTGGACGTGGACGTGGACATGACGTGGACGTGGACGTGGACGTGGACGTGGGCGTGGACGTGGGCGTGGACGTGGACATGGGCGTGGGCGTGGACGTGGACGTGGACGTGGACGTAGACGTGGACATGGTCGTGGTCGTGGACATGGTCGTGGACGTGGACGTGGACGTACGTGGACGTGGACGTGGACGTGGACGTGGACATGGACGTGGACATGGACGTGGAGGACTTGGACGTGGACGTGGACGTGGACGTGGACGTGGACGTGGACGTGGACATGACGTGGACGTGGACGTGGACGTGGACGTGGGCGTGGACGTGGGCGTGGACGTGGACATGGGCGTGGGCGTGGACGTGGACGTGGACGTGGACGTAGACGTGGACATGGTCGTGGTCGTGGACATGGTCGTGGACGTGGACGTGGACGTGGACGTGGACGTGGACGTGGACGTGGACGTGGACGGGGACGTGGACGTGGACGTGGACGTGGACGTGGTCGTGGACGTGGACGTGGACGTGGACGTGGACGTGGACGTGGTCGTGGACGTGGACGTGGACGTGGACGTGGACGTGGAGATGGACGTGGACGTGGACGTGGACGTGGACGTGGACGTGGACGTGGACGTGGACGGGGACGTGGACGTGGACGTGGACGTGGACGTGGACGTGGTCGTGGACGTGGACGTGGACGTGGACGTGGACGTGGTCGTGGACGTGGACGTGGACGTGGACGTGGACGTGGACGTGGTCGTGGACGTGGACGTGGTCGTGGACGTGGACGTGGACGTGGACGTGGACGTGGACGTGGTCGTGGACGTGGACGTGGACGTGGACGTGGACGTGGACGTGGACGTGGACGTGGACGTGGAGGTGGACGTGGAGATGGACGTGGACGTGGACGTGGACGTGGACGTGGACGTGGACGTGGTCGTGGACGTCGACGTGGACGTGGTCGTGGACGTGGTCGTGGACGTGGACGTGGACGTGGTCGTGGACGTGGACGTGGACGTGGACGTGGACGTGGACGTGGACATGGACGTGGACGTGGACGTGGACAGGGACGTGGACGTGGACGTGGACGTGGACGTGGACGTTGTTAACGGGAATGGAGTGTTGGCCCCGCCCTCGCTTGGGCAACGCCGACGACTTGGTCGGATGCACGGGAGTAGCAGCCGACTGTTCACAGTGGGATAGATGCTCGACAGGTTACGTCGAGCGGCAGCGGACCGCTGTGGTGTTGCTGTCGACCAGGATGCTCGACAGCTGCAACTGACTGGCCTGGGCGACGGGTGAGCCGTCCGGGAGGTCGACGAAGCAGTCCGTCGACCTACAGTTCGACAGGGAGGTCTACGGAGCATCCCGTCGAACTGCAGTTCGACCGGGAGGTCGACGGAGCAGTTCTGGTCGACGGAAGGGGTCCGTCGACGAAGGGGTAGCTTGACGGGAGGTGTGGTCGACCAGGAGCATCCGGTGGTCGACCAGAGAGACCCAGTGGTCGACGGGAGGCACCTGGGAGTCGACCAGAGCACTAGGGGTCGACCAGGTCGACCGGGTAACCTGCTCGACGACTTCTGCGGATGCGCGCGAATGCCGTCGAGATCGCGATGGCGCAGGCGACTTCGGGCTGGTATCCCGAAGTCGATGTGGCTCGTCAGGCGCAGACAACAGCCGACGGATGCCCAACGAGGCAAGTCGGACCAATCACCTGCGCACACCTGCGAGCGCGCGCACTGCTGTGTTCTACGGGGCACGCCGTCGACCAGCCTTGTTGGCAGGTCGCCCTTCTGCAGTGCTGGCGCGGCTCCTCTACGCAATGCTGGCAGGCGGTCGACCGAGCTGCGCTGGCAGTCGACCAGGCTAGCTGCAGGGTTGCTAGGTGCCTGATGTAGTCATTGTTGTCATTGCTTCTTTTATTCAATTCGGTAATCCCAACTTTGCTAGTGGAAACTCTTGCCAATTTCTCCTGTGAATGTGCAAGCACTAAGGAACCAAGCAAAGCTGAGATCACCTCTAGTAGTTCGTGCCAACCCTGTAGTCTAGCTCACTGCCGTTGTAGAGTGAATCTCCGCATGGTGCGGTGAGCGTGGAACGAACACGCGACCTTCAGATAGGAGCCGACTTTTGCACCTACTAAATCGTTCGTAGGCCGGCAGCAACGATAGTCGCCATGGTCGACCTCGTAGTTGATGCGGGTGTAGCTGACACTATGGAGGCACGTTTGGCTGACGCGAGGAGACGCCATGCGAATGGCGAGTACGGGACGATCCCCTTAGTGATCGCCGAGTTGGGCATCCGGTCGCAGTGGGAGACGGAACACCCTTCCCGTCCTGCTTCTCCTCGACCGGTGCGTAACGACGGTGGCGTCGACGACGAGGTCGACGGTGGTGCACGCGTCAGCGGCAGCGAAGGCACGAGGCATAGAGGTGTGATCAAGGTCGACGGTGGTGTCGACGGAATCCAGGCGCGAGTGCAGCGGTCGACGGCGGCTGCAGGCAGCTCGCACGCCGACGTCGATGTTCGACGTCGCTCTCCTCTACGAAGTGGTGGTGGGCTCTCGGCGACGACGCATGTGACGGCGGGCGGGATTGCACCGGCGTATGGCTATTTCAAGTTTTCGCCGGATCGAATCACCGTCGCTCCGCTGCAAGGTCGACGGGACCTTATCACCTGGAGGGAGTCGATCGAACCTCAGCTGGAGGTCGCCGGGCTGAAGGGCTTCGCCGACGGCACCGTGCCAATTCCGCCCGAGGAGGATGTCGGGCTGCGCGGGGAGTTTCGTTCTGCTCACCTGCTCACCTTCATGGTCATCTCGAGGTGCTGCTCGCCGGTGGTACAGCTGGCGCTCAGGAGCTGTCGAGAGCGACTGGATGCTGGTCACCAGGCATGGCGCTTCATTATATCGACGTACCAGGTCAGGGACGACCTGTACATCGGGCAGCTGGAGGAGAAGATGACCCACATTCGGATGGGCGAGCAGGAGTCGGCGACGGATTACTGCAACCGTGCTCGACGGATCCTGGCTGAAATGCGAATGGCAGGCGCCGAATACTCGACGGCGTCCTACATCACCCACATCGTCAAGGGCTTGCCGCGCAGCTACAATCTCATGAAGAGGATGATGATGGTGCCTGGCACGCGTGAGTCCCTCGACGAAGACTCCATCACCAGCTACATTCTCAAGGATGAGGCGATGCAGGAGGCAGAGCAGCCCACGGAGTTCCTTCCGCAGGCGAGTTACGCCGCACCGACGAAGTCGAATACACAGCGGGAGCAGCGCAGGAAGCCGGGCGGAAGTGGTAGCGGAGGTGGGCGGTCGACGAAGGACGTCGACGAAACGAGGTCGACGCGGGACAAGGGTCGACGAGGTGGTGGTCGACGGCGGGAGTGCTGGGTCTGCGGCGACCCCGACCATCTCTCCTTCGAGTGCCCCGACCGCGATGAGAGCGACGAGGACGACAACAAGGAAGGCCGCGGTCGATCGACCAGTCGTCGTCCCCGTCGAGCTGAGAAGCCGCGCAAGGAGAAGCAAGCGTCGAAGAAAAACGCCCTCGACGAAGGACGTCGACAGCTCCAGCGGCAAGAACCGAGGCGACGGGGAGGCGTCGTGCTCGATGGTCGGCGTAGTGGAGCCGATGGTCTCGCTAGCACCGGATGCTGGCGAGGACTTCCAGGCGGTGGCAGCAGCTGTGCAGGCCAACCCGATGGCGGTGCTGCTCGACAGCGGGTGCTCCCACCACCTGATGGGGACGAAATCGGTCTTCGTTGACATGGGGCCGAGCGATGGGGTGAAGCATGTGCGTGGGTTCAACGGGGCATTGCAGCCCGTCGAGGGTCGCGGAACCGTCGCTCTGCAAGGGGAGGCCGGGAAGCGAGTTCTCATCCCCGACGTACTCTACGTTCCAGGCGTACAGGCAAACCTGTTGTCTGCTGGCCAGCTGAAGGAGAGCGGCGTGCTACTGCAGGGCGATGGCGATGAGATGCTGCTCGTCGACGCGACTGGAGAGGTGCTTGGTCGAGCACACTACACCGGACGAGTCCTCTGCACCGACCTTCGCCCCTGCCCGACGCAGTTGCTGTCGACCGAGGTGGTGGCTCTGCGGACGATCACCTTGGCGACGAAGACGACCCCCGATAGGATGCATGCGCGGCTTGCCCACGTCAACGTCGACACGATCAAGAGCTCGGCAAAGCATGGTGTGGCTACTGGGCTTGACATCACGTTGTCAACCGGAGCAGACCCGCCATGTGTCTCGTGCGTCGGAGGAAAGCTGGCGCGGCACACCTTCCCCGCCAAGGGCTCGGATGCAGCGGAGGCGCTGGCTGTCGTGCACATTGACTTGTGCGGGCAATTTCGGGTGGCTGCCAAGGATGGCAGCTTGTACTTCCTGCTGCTGAAGGATCGCCATACTCGATTTGTATGGGCGATGCCAGTCGCTAAGAAGAGCGACGTGCTGCGGGAGTTCGAGAAGTGGCTGGTGCTTGTGGAACGACAGACGAAGAAGTCGGTCCTGTCGCTTCGCTCTGATCGAGGGGGGGAATTCCTCGGGAAGGCGTTCACCGACTTCGTCGACGGGAAGGGCATCGTCCACGACCTCACGTGCCCCTACACTCCGCAGCAGAATGGCATGGCCGAGCGGGAGATGCGTACGGCCGTCGAGTCCGTGCGGACGATGTTGCTGCACATGGGCGTGCAGCACCATTGGTGGCACCTGGCTCTACGGCAAGCTGTCTGGGTGCGCAACTGCTTGGAGCGGTCGACGACGCCGCCGGGGACGACTCCGTACCAGCTGCTGACCGGACAGAAGCCCGACCTTACGCTGGCACGGGTGTGGGGCTGCATGGTGCAGTTCATGGTTCCCGAGCAGCAACGAGGTGGAAAGCTGGCGCCGAAGGCTCGCTGGGGACTTCACCTGGGTGTGTCGCCAGCGAGCAAGGGCTGGGAGGTGCTCGACCTGACCGACAACAAGATGGTCACGTCGGTCGAGGTGATCTTCTATGAGACGCTGTCGCTGGAAGTGTGGAAGGCGAAGTATGGGCCGGCGTCGGAGCGGACGCAGGCGCCCCCGCCGACGGACTCCTCGACGGCGACGGTTCCCCTGCTCGCCGAAGTCGACGAGCCTGCTGATGAAGATGCTGTGGAGGTCCTTCCACCCTCCCCTGTTCTTGCTCCTCCGTCTCCCGTCGCCGATCTGCCTGCGCCGACACCTGTGTCGGCCACCGACGATGAGGGGAGCCTGGAGGCGTCGCCTGTGGCGCCGGCCAGTGGCATCGCCGGCGGACGACAAGGCGCCAAGCTCGACGACTATGATGGAAAGCCGTCGAAGACAGGGGAGCCAGTCGAACAGGAGCCATCGGCAGGGGTACACTCGATAGGGGAGCGGCAGCCGGAGCGGTCGACAGGAGAATTGTCGAAGGTAGCAGCAGAGGAACAGCCGGTCGAAGGGTCGAAGCAGCTGGTCGACGATGTTCTAGTTGAAACGAAAGGGGAGCTATCGGTGGGGGAGTCCACCGACAGCGACGTGATGGAAGTGCCGATCACGAAGCCTGAGCTGCGACGCTCAGGTCGAGCTCGACGGCCGCTGGAGCGGTTGAGCTTTCACGCCTGCTTACCGTCTGCTGCCTTCACCACGGTGTACGACGAGGTCGACGACGACCTGCTGTACGACGATGCCGAGGAGGATGAAGACCTGTCGGAGCTCGACCCTGACGTGCATGCCGACCCCGAACACCGCTGGGACATCGCCACGATGACGGTGAAGGAGGCGCTGTCGAGCTGGAAGGGCGAGGCGGTGAAGGCCGCCATGGAAGAAGAAATCCGTAGCCTCATCGCTATGGGGACTTGGGAGCTGGTCGAACGCCCACGCGGGGTGAACATTATGAAGAACCGATGGGTGCTGACGACCAAGTACCGCATCGACGACACCGTCGAGCGCGAGAAGGCGAGGCTGGTCGTAAAGGGCTTCACGCAGGTGTACGGCGCCGACTACGACGAGACGTACTCGCCGGTGAGCAGCTACGTCACGCTGAGGATCTTCCTCAGCATAGTCGCCGTCCTCGACCTCAACCTGATGCAGCTCGACATGAAGAACGCTTTCCTGCAGAGCAAGCTCGACAGAGTGCTCTACATGTACCAGCCGGACTACTTCGACGACGGGACCGGCCGGGTGTGTAAGCTGCTGAAAAGCCTCTACGGGCTGAAGCAGTCGCCGCTGCTGTGGTACAGGGCTCTTGACGGTGTGCTGCTAGGCGCTGGCTGGAAGAAGAGCCAGGTCGACGAGGCGCTCTACTTCAAGACCGGCGACGACGGTGTGACCTGCTGGGTCTTGGTCTACGTCGACGACCTGCTCGCCGCTAGCAGCAGCACCGCGATGCTGAAGGAGCTGAAGGAGCTGCTGGAGGCCGCCTTCGAGCTGCGTGAGATCTGGCCGGTGGAAAAGTACCTTGGGCTGGAGATCGTGCGCGACAGGCCGGCCAGGAAGTTGTGGCTGCACCAGCAGGGCTACGCCGACAAGCTGCGCAGGCGCTTCGTCGACGAGGAGCTAGGCGGTCGAGTCCCGAAGACGCCGGTCTCGGTCGACGCCTACGTTCATCTGACGTTCGACGACGAGGAGGCTCAGGAGCGCGAAGAGGAGGAGTACCGCCAGAAGGTCGGCTCGCTGCAGTTCGCGGCGACGACGACGAGGCCGGACATTGCGTTCGCCTGCAGCAAGCTGGGGAGCGGCCTCACGGTGAGGAGCGACCAGCATTGGCGTGAGGTCGACCGTTGCCTCGCCTTCCTCGCCGACACCCGCGACACCGCTCTGGAGTTCGGCGGTGGACCAGAATCGTTGGAGCTGATCGGCTACGTCGACGCCGACGACGCGGGCGACAAGCAGAACCGGACGAGCACGGGAGGCTACATGTTCGTCTACGGAGGGGCCGCCGTCTCCTGGTCGAGCTCGCGCATCAAGTGCGCGACATTATCATCGACCGAGTCGGAGTACGTGGCGGCCACGGATGCCGGCAAGGAGGGGCGTCGACTTCGCTTCCTCCTTGCGGAATTCAAGCTGCTCGACGCTGGGAAGCCGACCATCCTCCGCGTCGACAACAAGTCGGCAATCACGGTCGCTGAGGGCTTGGGGCTGACGGGCAACCTCAAGCACATGGAGCGACGCTACGCCTGGCTGCAGCACATGGTGAGGCGCGGGAAATTTGTGCTGAACTACATCCCTACCACCGAGCAGCCGGCGGATTTCCTGACGAAGGCGCTGCATTTTCCGGCTTTCAACCGGTGCTCTGTCGCTATCGGCCAAGTTCGCTTGGTGGACGTCGGCGACGGCGATGACGAGGTGCAGCAGTAGGTGCCGTGCCCTTCTGCACGGCTGGTGCGGTGACGGCGTGCTGTGTATGGGGTGCACGCCGAGAACGAGCTTTCTGCGTGGAGTACTGCCGTGTGGGCTGGAGGCCCAAGCGTGAGCGCGGCAGGGGAGTGTTAACGGGAATGGAGTGTTGGCCCCGCCCTCGCTTGGGCAACGCCGACGACTTGGTCGGATGCACGGGAGTAGCAGCCGACTGTTCACAGTGGGATAGATGCTCGACAGGTTACGTCGAGCGGCAGCGGACCGCTGTGGTGTTGCTGTCGACCAGGATGCTTGACAGCTGCAACTGACTGGCCTGGGCGACGGGTGAGCCGTCCAGGAGGTCGACGAAGCAGTCCGTCGACCTACAGTTTGACGGGGAGGTCTACGGAGCATCCCGTCGAACTGCAGTTCGACCGGGAGGTCGACGGAGCAGTTCTGGTCGACGGAAGGGGTCCGTCGACCAAGGGGTAGCTTGACGGGAGGTGTGGTCAACCAGGAGCATCCGGTGGTCGACCAGAGAGACCCAGTGGTCGACGGGAGGCACCTGAGAGTCGACCAGAGCACCAGGGGTCGACCAGGTCGACCGGGTAACCTGCTCGACGACTTCTGCGGAGGCGCGCGAATGCCGTCGAGATCGCGATGGCGCGGGCGACTTCGGGCTGGTATCCCGAAGTCGATGTGGCTCGTCAGGCGCAGACAACAGCCGACGGATGCCCAACGAGGCAAGTCGGACCAATCACCTGCGCACACCTGCGAGCGCGCGCACTGCTGTGTTCTACGGGGCACGCCGTCGACCAGCCTTGTTGGCAGGTCGCCCTTCTGTAGTGCTGGCGCGGCTCCTCTACGCAATGCTGGCAGGCGGTCGACCGAGCTGCACTGGCAGTCGACCAGGCTAGCTGCAGGGTTGCTAGGTGCCTGATGTAGTCATTGTTGTCATTGCTTCTTTTATTCAATTCGGTAATCCCAACTTTGCTAGTGGAAACTCTTACCAATTTCTCCTGTGAATGTGCAAGCACTAAGGAACCAAGCAAAGCTGAGATCACCTCTAGTAGTTCGTGCCAACCCTGTAGTCTAGCTCACTGCCGTTGTAGAGTGAATCTCCGCAGACGTGGACATGGACGTGGACGTGGACCTGGTCGTGGACGTGGACAGGGACGTGGACCTGGACGTGGACGTGGACGTGGACGTGGACATGGACGTGGACGTGGACGTGGACGTGGACCTGGTCGTGGACGTGGACAGGGACGTGGACCTGGACGTGGACGTGGACGTGGATGTGGACATGGACGTGGACGTGGACATGGACGTGGACGTGGACGTGGACGAGGACGTGGACCTGGACGTGGACGTGGACGTGGACGTGGACATGGACGTGGACATGGACGTGGACGTGGACGTGGACATGGACGTGGAGGTGGACGTGGACACGGACGTGGAGGTGGACGTGGACGTGGACGTAGACGTGGACGTGGACGTGGACGTGGACATGGACGTGGACGTGGTCGTGGACGTGGACGTGGACGTGGACCTGGACGTGGACGTGGACGTGGACGTGGACATGGACGTGGACATGGACGTGGACGTGGACGTGGACATGGACGTGGAGGTGGACGTGGACAGGGACGTGGAGGTGGACGTGGACGTGGACGTAGACGTGGACGTCCATGTCCACGTCCATGTCCACGTCCAAGTCCACGTCCACGTCCATGTCCACGTCCATGTCCACGTCCACGTCCATGTCCACGTCCAAGTCCACGTCCACGTCCATGTCCACGTCCATGTCCACGTCCAAGTCCACGTCCACGTCCACGTCCACGTCCATGTCCACGTCCACGTCCACGTCCACGTCCACGTCTATGTCCACGTCCAAGTCCACGTCCACGTCCACGTCCACGTCCACGTCCACGTCCAGGTCCACGTCCACGTCCACGTCCACGTCCACCTCCACGTCCACGTCCATGTCCACCTCCACGTCCACGTCTATGTCCCTGTCCACGTCCACCTCCACGTCCATGTCCACGTCCACGTCCACGTCCATGTCCACGTCCATGTCCACGTCCACGTCCACGTCCAGGTCCACGTCCAGGTCCACGTCCACGTCCACGTCCACGTCCATGTCCACGTCCACGTCCACGTCCACGTCCACGTCTACGTCCACGTCCACGTCCACCTCCACGTCCCTGTCCACGTCCACCTCCACGTCCATGTCCACGTCCACGTCCACGTCCATGTCCACGTCCACGTCCACGTCCACGTCCAACGTCCTCGTCCACGTCCACGTCCACGTCCACGTCCTCGTCCACGTCCACGTCCACGTCCACGTCCACGTCCATGTCCACGTCCAAGTCCACGTCCACGTCCACCTCCACGTCCATGTCCACGTCCACGTCCACGTCCATGTCCACGTCCATGTCCACGTCCACGTCCACGTCCACGTCCAGGTCCACGTCCAGGTCCACGTCCACGTCCACGTCCACGTCCATATCCACGTCCACGTCCACGTCCACGTCTACGTCCACGTCCACGTCCACCTCCACGTCCCTGTCCACGTCCACCTCCACGTCCATGTCCACGTCCACGTCCACGTCCATGTCCACGTCCACGTCCACGTCCACGTCCACGTCCTCGTCCACGTCCACGTCCACGTCCACGTCCTCGTCCACGTCCACGTCCACGTCCACGTCCATGTCCACGTCCAAGTCCACGTCCATGTCCACGTCCACGTCCACGTCCACCTCCACGTCCACGTCCACGTCCACCTCCACGTCCACGGTCCATGTCCACCTCCACGTCCACGTCCATGTCCACGTCCATGTCCATGTCCACGTCCACGTCCATGTTCACGTCCACGTCCACGTCCACGTCCACGTCCATGTCCATGTCCACGTCCACGGTCCATGTTCACGTCCACGTCCACGTCCATGTCCACGTCCACGTCCACGTCCAGGTCCACGTCCACGTCCAGGTCCAGGTCCACGTCCATGTCCACGTCCATGTCCATGTCCACGTCCATGTCCACGGCCACGTCCATGTCCACGTCCACGTCCACGTCCACGTCCACGTCCATGTCCACGTCCAAGTCCTCCACGTCCATGTCCTCCACGTCCACGTCCACGTCCACGTCCATGTCCACGTCCATGTCCACGTCCATGTCCACGTCCACGTCCACGTCCACGTCCACGTCCACGTCCACGTCCACGTCCACCTCCATGTCCACGTCCACGTCCACGTCCACGTCCACGTCATGTCCACGTCCACGTCCACGTCCATGTCCATGTCCACGTCCACGTCCATGTGCACGTCCACGGTCCACGTCCATGTCCACGTCCACGTCCACGTCCACGTCCACATCCATGTCCATGTCCACGTCCACGTCCACGTCCACGTCCACGTCCACGTCCACGTCCACGTCCATGTCCACGTCCACGTCCACGTCCACGTCCACGTCCAGGTCCACGTCCACGTCCACGTCCACGTCCACGTCCATGTCCACGTCCACGTCCACGTCCACGTCCACGTCTACGTCCACGTCCACGTCCAGGTCCACGTCCACGTCCACGTCCACGTCCATGTCCACGTCCACGTCCACGTCCACGTCCACGTCCACGTCCACGTCCACGTCCACGTCCACATCCACGTCCACGTCCACGTCCACCTCCATGTCCACGTCCAGGTCCACGTCCAAGTCCTCCACGTCCATGTCCACGTCCAAGTCCACGTCCACGTCCACGTCCACGTCCAAGTCCACGTCCACGTCCACGTCCACGTCCATCTCCACGTCCACGTCCACGTCCATGTCCACGTCCACGTCCACGTCCACATCCACGTCCACGTCCACGTCCACGTCCATGTCCACGTCCAAGTCCACGTCCACGTCCAGGTCCACGTCCACGTCCACGTCCACGTCCAGGTCCACGTCCACGTCCACGTTCACGTCCATGTCCACGTCCACGTCCACATCCACGTCCACGTCCACGTCCACGTCCATCTCCACGTCCACGTCCAAGTCCACGTCCACGTCCACGTCCACGTCCATGTCCACATCCACGTCCACGTCCACGTCCACATCCATGTCCACGTCCACGTCCACGTCGAAGTCCTCCACGTCCATGTCCACGTCCACGTCCACGTCCACTTCCATGTCCACGTCCACGGCCACGTCCACGTCCACGTCCACGTCCACGTCCATGTCCACGTCCACGTCCACGTCCACGTCCACGTCCATGTCCACGTCCACGTCCACGTCCACGTCCACGTCCAGGTCCACGTCCACGTCCACGTCCAGGTCCACGTCCATGTCCACGTCCACGTCCATGTGCACGTCCACGTCCACGTCTATGTCCACGTCCACGTCCACGTCCACGTCCACGTCCATGTCCACGACCACGTCCACGACCACGTCCACGTCCACGTCCACGTTCACGTCCATGTCCAAGTCCACGTCCACGTCCACGTCCATGTCCACGTCCACGTCCACGTCCACGTTCACGTCCAAGTCCACGTCCACGTCCACGTCCAGGTCCACGTCCATGTCCACGTCCACGTCCACGTCCACGTCCACGTCCATGTCCACGTCCACGTCCACGTCCATGTCCACGTCCAAGTCCACGTCCACGTCCACGTCCACATCCACGTCCACGTCCATGTCCACGTCCACGTCCACGTCGTCCACGTCCACGTCCACGTCCACGTCCACGTCCATGTCCACGTCCATGTCCACGTCCACGTCCACGTCCACGTCCACGTCCACGTCCCGTCCACGTCCATGTCCACGACCACGTCCACGACCACGTCCACGACCACGTCCACGTCCACGTCCATGTCCAAGTCCATGTCCAAGTCCACGTCCACATCCACGTCCATGTCCACGTCCACGTCCACGTCCACGTTCACGTCCACGTCCACGTCCACGTCCAGGTTCACATCCATGTCCACGTCCACGTCCACGTCCACGTCCACGTCCACGTCCATGTCCACGTCCACGTCCACGTCCATGTGCACGTCCACGTCCACGTCCAGGTCCACGTCCACGTCCACGTCCACGTCCACGTCCAAGTCCACGTCCACGTCCACGTCCACGTCCAGGTCCACGTCCACGTCCACGTCCACGTCCACGTCCACGTCCACGTCCAAGTCCACGTCCACGTCCATCTCCACGTCCACGTCCACGTCCACGTCCATGTCCACCTCCACGTCCACGTCCACGTCAACATCCACGTCCACGTCCACGTCCACGTCCAAGTCCTCCACGTCCATGTCCACGTCCAAGTCCACGTCCACGTCCACGTCCACGTCCATCTCCATGTCCACGTCCACGTCCATGTCCACATCCACGTCCACATCCATGTCCACGTCCACGTCCACGTCCAAGTCCTCCACGTCCATGTCCACGTCCAAGTCCACGTCCACGTCCAGGTCCACGTCCACATCCACGTCCATGTCCACGTCCACGTCCACGTCCATGTCCACGTCCAAGTCCACGTCCACGTCCACGTCCACGTCCACGTCCATGTCCACATCCACGTCCACGTCCACGTCCACGTGCTCCACGTCCATGTCCACGTCCACGTCCACGTCCACTTCCATGTCCACGTCCACGGCCACGTCCACGTCCACGTCCACGTCCACGTCCATGTCCACGTCCACGTCCACGTCCACGTCCACGTCCACGTCCACGTCCATGTCCACGTCCACGTCCACGTCCACGTCCACGTCCATATCCACGTCCACGTCCACGTCCACGTCCACGTCCACGTCCACGTCCACGTCCATGTCCACGTCCATGTCCACGTCCACGTCCATGTCCACGTCCAAGTCCTCCACGTCCACGTCCACGTCCACGTCCACGTCCATGTCCACGTCCACGTCCACGTCCACGTCCAGGTCCACGTCCACGTCCACGTCCACGTCCACGTCCGCGTCCACGTCCAGGTCCACGTCCACGTCCAGGTCCACGTCCATGTCCACGTCCACGTCCACGTCCACGTCCACGTCCACGTCCAATGTCCACGTCCACGTCCACGTCCACGTCCACGTCACGTTCATGTCCATGTCCACGTCCACGTCCACGTCCACGTCCATGTCCACGTCCACGTCCACGTCGTCCACGTCCACGTCCACGTCCACGTCCATGTCCACGTCCATGTCCACGTCCACGTCCACGTCCACGTCCACGTCCACGTCCATGTCCACGACCACGTCCACGACCACGTCCACGTCCACGTCCATGTACACGTCCATGTCCACGTCACGTCCACGTCCGAGTCCACGTCCACGTCCACGTCCATGTCCATGTCCACGTCCATGTCCACGTCCACGTCCACGTCCATGTCCACGTCCACGTCCATGTCCATGTCCACGTCCACGTCTACGTCCATGTCCACGTCCACGTCCACATCCATGTCCACCTCCACGTCCACGTCCACGTCCACGTCCATGTCCACGTCCACGTCCATGTCCACCTCCACGTCAACGTCCACGTCCATGTCCACGTCCACGTCCATGTCGTCCACGTCCACGTCCATGTTCATGTCCACGTCCACGTCCATGTCCACGTCCACGTCCACGTCCATGTCCACGTCCACGTCCACGTCCATGTCCATGTCCACGTCCACGTCCATGTTCACGTCCACGTCCATGTCCACGTCCACGTCCACGTCCATGTCCACGTCCACGTCCATCTCCACGTCCACGTCCACGTCCATGTCCATGTCCACGTCCACGTGCATGTCCACGTCCACGTCCACGGCCATGTCCACGTCCACGTCCACATCCATGTCCACGTCCACGTCCACGTCCAGGTCCACGTCCATGTCCACGTCCATGTCCACGTCGACGTCCACGTCCATGTCCACGTCCACGGTCCACGTCCATGTCCACGTCGACGTCCACGTCCACGTCCACCTCCACGTCCACGTCCATGTCCACGTCCACGTCCACGTCCATGTCCATGTCCACGTCCACGTCCACGTCCATGTTCACGTCCACGTCCACGTCCATGTTCACGTCCACGTCCACGTCCATGTCCACGTCCACGACCACGTCCAGGTCCACGTCCACGTCCACGTCCACGTCCACGTCCATGTCACGTCTACGTCCATGTCCACGTCCATGTCTACGTCCACATCCACGTCCACGTCCACGTCCACGTCCACGTCCACGCCCAAGTCCTCCACGTCCATGTCGACGTCCATGTCCATGTCCACGTCCACGTCCACGTCCATGTCTACGTCCACATCCATGTCCACGTCCACGTCCACGTCCACGTCCACGTCCAAGTCCTCCACGTCCACGTCCACGTCCACCTCCACGTCCATGTCCACGTCCCACGTCCACGTCCATGTCCACGTCCACGTCCACGTCCACGTCCACGTCCATGTCCACGTCCACGTCCACGTCCACGTCCACGTCCACGTCCAGGTCCACGTCCACGTCCATGTCCACGTCCACGTCCACGTCCATGTCCACGTCCACGTCCACGTCCACGTCCACGTCCATATCCACGTCCACGTCCACGTCCACGTCCACGTCCAGGTCCATGTCCACGTCCACGTCCACGTTCACGTCCACGACCACTGTCCAAGTCCACGTCCAAGTCCACGTCCACGTCCACGTCCACGTCCACGTCCATGTCCACGTCCACGTCCACGTCCATGTCCACGTCCAAGGCCACGTCCACGACCACGTCCATGTCCACGTCCACGACCACGTCCACGTCCACGTCCACGTCCACGTCCACGTCCACGTCCACGTCCATGTCCACGTCCACGTCCACGACCACGTCCACGTCCACGTCCACGTTCACGTCCATGTCCAAGTCCACCTCCACGTCCACGTCCATGTCCACGTCCACGTCCACGTCCACGTTCACGTCCACGTCCACGTCCAGGTCCACGTCCATGTCCACGTCCACGTCCACGTCCACGTCCTCGTCCACGTCCATGTCCACGTCCATGTCCACGTCCACGTCCACGTCCATGTGCACGTCCACGTCCACGTCCATGTCCACGTCCACGTCCACGTCCACGTCCATGTCCATGTCCACGTCCACGTCCACGTCCATGTCCACGTCCACGTCCACGTCCATGTCCACGTCCACGTCCACGTCCACGTCCACGTCCACTGTCCAGGTCCACGTCCACGTCCACGTCCACGTCCATGTCCACGTCCACGTCCACGTCCACGTCACGTCCACGTCCAAGTCCATGTCCACATCCACGTCCACGTCCACGTCCACCTCCATGTCCACGTCCACGTCCACATCCAAGTCCTCCACGTCCATGTCCACGTCCAAGTCCACGTCCTACGTCCACGTCCACGTCCATCTCCACGTCCACGTCCACGTCCACGTCCACGTCCATGTCCACATCCACGTCCACGTCCATGTCCACATCCATGTCCACATCCACGTCCACGTCCAAGTCCTCCACGTCCATGTCCACGTCCAAGTCCACGTCCAGGTTCACGTCCCGTCCACGTCCATGTCCACGTCCACGTCCACGTCCACGTCCATGTCCACGTCCAAGTCCACGTCCACGTCCACGTCCACGTCCACGTCCATCCTCCACGTCCACGTCCAAGTCCACGTCCACGTCCACGTCCACGTCCATGTCCACAATCCATGTCCACGTCCACGTCCACATCCATGTCCACGTCCACGTCCATGTCCAAGTCCTCCACGTCCATGTCCACGTCCACGTCCACGTCCCACTTCCATGTCCACGTCTCACGGCCACATCCACGTCCACGGCCCCACGTCCATTCCACGTCCACGTCCACGTCCACTGTCCACGTCCACGTCCATGTCCACGTCCACGTCCACGTCCACGTCCACGTCACGTCCATGTCCACGTCTACGTCCACGTCCAGGTCCACGTCCACGTCCACGTCCACGTCCACGCCACGTCCCACGCCACGTCCACGTCCACGTCCACGCCCACGTCCATGTCCACGTCCACGTCCACGTCCACGTCCATGTCCACGTCCACGTCCACGTCCACGTCCAAGTCCACGTCCACGTCCACGTCCACGTCCAAGTCCACGTCCAAGTCCACGTCCACGGTCCATGTCCACGTCCACGTCACGTCCATGTCCACGTCCACGTCCACGTCCACGTCCACGTCCACGTCCACGTCCAGGTCCACGTCCACATCCACGTCCACGTCCATGTCCACGTCCACGTCCACGTCCACGTCCACGTCCAAGTCCATGTCCACATCCACGTCCACGTCCACGTCCACCTCCATGTCCACGTCCACGTCCACATCCAAGTCCTCCACGTCCATGTCCACGTCCAAGTCCACGTCCACGTCCACGTCCACGTCCATCTCCACGTCCACGTCCACGTCCACGTCCACGTCCATGTCCACATCCACGTCCACGTCCATGTCCACATCCATGTCCACATCCACGTCCACGTCCAAGTCCTCCACGTCCATGTCCACGTCCAAGTCCACGTCCAGGTTCACGTCCACGTCCACGTCCATGTCCACGTCCACGTCCACGTCCATGTCCACGTCCAAGTCCACGTCCACGTCCACGTCCACGTCCATCTCCACGGTCCACGTCCAAGTCCACGTCCACGTCCACGTCCACGTCCATGTCCACATCCACGTCCACGTCCACGTCCACATCCATGTCCACGTCCACGTCCATGTCCAAGTCCTCCACGTCCATGTCCACGTCCACGTCCACGTCCACTTCCATGTCCACGTCCACGGCCACATCCACGTCAACGTCGACATCACGGTTCCACGTCCATCGTCCACATCCAACGTCCAACGTCCACGCTCCATGTCACGTCCACTGTCCACGTCCACGTCCACGTCCACGTCCATGTCCACGTCTACGTCCACGTCCAGGTCCACGTCCACGTCCACGTCCACGTCCACGCCACGTCCACGCCACGTCCACGTCCACGTCCACGCCACGTCCATGTCCACGTCCACGTCCACGTCCACGTCCCATGTCCACGTCCACGTCACGTCCAAGGTCCACGTCCACGTCCACGTCCACGTCCACGTCCAAGTCCACGTCCAAGTCCACGTCCACGTCCACGTCCACGTCCACGTCATGTCCACGTCCATGTCCACGTCCAAGTCCACGTCCACGTCCACGTCCACGTCCACTTCCACGTCCACGTCACGTCCATGTCCACCTCCACGTCCACGTCCACGTCCACGTCCACGTCCACGTCCATGTCCACGTCCACGTCCACGTCCACGTCCACATCCACGTCCAGGTCTACGTCCACGTCCACGTCCAGGTCCACGTCCACGTCCACGTCCATGTCCACGTCCACGTCCACGTCCACGTCCATGTCCACGTCCACGTCCATGTGCACGTCCACGTCCACGTCCACGTCCATGTCCACGTCGACGTCCACGTCCACGTCCACGTCCATGTCCACGTCCACGTCCACGTCGTCCACGTCCACGTCCACGTCCACGTCCATGTCCACGTCCACGTCCACGTCGTCCACGTCCACGTCCACGTCCACGTCCACGTCCACGTCCACGTCCACGTCCATGTCCACGTCCACGTCCACGTCCACGTCCACGTCCACGTCCATGTCCACGACCACGTCCACGACCACGTCCACGTCCACGTCCACGTTCACGTCCATGTCCAAGTCCACGTCCACGTCCACGTCCATGTCCACGTCCACGTCCACGTCCACGTCCACGTCCACGTCCATGTCCACGTCCACGTCCACGTCCACGTCCACGTCCACGTGCACGTCCACGTCCACGTCCACGTCCACGTCCACGTCCATGTCCATGTCCACGTCCACCTCCACGTCCATGTCCACGTCCACGTCCACGTCCACGTCCATGTCCACGTCCACCTCCACGTCCACGTCCAAGTCCACGTCCACGTCCACGTCCACGTCCAGGTCCACGTCCACGTCCACGTCCACGTCCACGTCCATGTCCACGTCCACGTCCACGTCCACGTCCACGTCCAAGTCCACGTCCATGTCCATCTCCACGTCCACGTCCACGTCCACGTCCACGTCCATGTCCACATCCACGTCCACGTCCACGTCCACATACACGTCCACGTCCACGTCCACGTCCAAGTCCTCCACGTCCATGTCGACGTCCAAGTCCACGTCCACGTCCACGTCCACGTCCATCTCCACGTCCACGTCCATGTCCACATCCACGTCCACGTCCACATCCATGTCCACGTCCAAGTCCACGTCCAAGTCCTCCACGTCCATGTCCACGTCCAAGTCCACGTCCACGTCCACGTCCACGTCCACGTCCACGTCCACGTCCAAGTCCACGTCCACGTCCACGTCCACGTCCACGTCCATCTCCACGTCCACGTCCAAGTCCACGTCCACGTCCACGTCCATGTCCACAACCACGTCCACGTCCATGTCCACGTCCTCCACGTCCATGTCCACGTCCACGTCCACTTCCATGTCCACGTCCACGGCCACGTCCACGTCCACGTCCACGTCCACGTCCATGTCCACGTCCACGTCCACGTCCACGTCCACGTCCACGTCCACGTCCACGTCCACGCCCATGTCCACGTCTACGTCCACGTCCAGGTCCACGTCCACGTCCACGTCCACGTCCTCCACGTCCATGTCCACGTCGACGTCCATGTCCACGTCCATGTCCACGTCCACGTCCACGTCCAGTCCTCCACGTCCATGTCCACGTCCACGTCCACGTCGACTTCCACGTCCACGTCCACGTCCACGTCCATGTCCACGTCCACGTCCACGTCCACGTCCCTGTCCACGTCCACGTCCACGTCCACGTCCACGTCCACGTCCACGTCCACGTCCAGGTCCACGTCCACGTCCACGTCCACGCCACGTCCACGCCACGTCCACGTCCCCGTCCACGCCCCACGTCCATGTCCACGTCCACGTCCACGTCCACGTCCAGTCCATGTCCACGTCCACGTCCACGTCCACGCCACGTCCACGCCACGTCCACGTCCACGTCCACGCC